TTTCAAAACATGTCACTTCTTAAAGGTCAGGATAGAAGTCTCTTCTGCAGTGTCTGCACAGCAGAGCAAAGCACAGTGCACCCCAACGCTTCTAATTTCTTCTTTCTTTCTGTTTATTCAGAAGTATTTATTTAAGGAAAAATGGAAATTGATCACAACATTCAGAATTTGATTTCTTGTTTGTTTGCTTGTTTTCAAAATAAGAAATATTATCAGCTTCAAACTTCATGTCAGAGTTGGACACCCCATCTGAGCTGTACCACTGTGAGCAACACAGAATCACAGAATCACAGAACTGTTGGGAAGGGACCTTAAAGCCCACTCAGTCCCAGCCTGTGTTGTGGGCAGGGCTGCCGTCCACCAGCTCAGGCTGCCCAGGGCCCCATCCAACCTGGCCTTGAACCTCCAGGGATGGGGCACCCACAGCTGCTCTGGGCAGCGTGTGACAGTGAATATCTCTGGCAAAACAAAACAAAACAAAACTAAACAAAATAAAATGAAAAAAAAACCCAAGAACAAATAAGAGCATCCTTTCCTAAGGCATCAGGCCACCATTCATTGGATTGCTACCCTGCTTGGGTTGCTATTCCTTTGCTTGCTACCCTGTGCCAGATGCTCCAAAAAACCAAAATGCAATGGCCTGAAATCTCTCAGATAAGTCACCTGTTGTGGGGTTCACGTCTGAGTTGATCAAAGGCTTGTCTTTTTTTCTTTTTTTTTTGGTACCATTAATATTTCTATCATCATTGGTGGCTTATCATTGTTGTGGCATACTAGAAGGCACCTAAAAGGCATGAGCCAGCCATGTTCATGGATTGGCACAGCTGCTTCCCATCCATGACCCAGCAGCTGGCCAGGATGTTGTGCCCATCCTGCAGCCTCACAGATGTCACTAGGAAACCAGGTGCAACAAACAGGCTGTGCCTGGATGGGGTTTGTGCCCTGGGGGTGAGATGGAGCCTGATATGAGCAGCCAAAGCGGGGGTGGAGGTGGGGAGCCCCAATTTGGGGAACACCCCAGCAGCACTTTGAGGTGTGTCCAATACATCCCACTGTCATTAGCATGAGCAAGAGTCATCCATGCTTCCCCAAGCTGTAATTTCAGGCTCTCCCAGATAAGTTACAATGCCTAGACACTCTTTGATAACTTTTGCAGGGTTATCTTCACCACTGGGGAACAAATTTCCATTCTGATTTAATGAAAGCAGAGATCCTGGAGTCAGCAGGAGCAGGAGCCTAATAAGCAACTCTTAATCCAGGAAATTGGATGTGGTCGGAAACATTCCAGCAGGAAAGTTTGGGAGATCCTGCTGTGGCTCATTCCTGATGTGAGGCTCGGAGTCTGCAAGATAATAAATCCAAGTTTAGTGCACCTAATCCTGAATTAAAGAAAAACCACAGCCCACGTAACACAAAGTGGCTAAACAGGTACAAAGATGCTCTCCCTGTCTAAAGATGTGGAAATCACAGAGGGAGTAATTGCTGCCTAAAGAGGCCCTTGCCAGCTGAGGAGTGATGTGTACAGGTGGACTTTGATCACGTAGTGCATAGGCTTTTCAGGCAAGCCCTTCTCCAGTCCTCCAAGGTTTAGGCTCAGGATGCCCTCAGACAAGTGTCTGACCAGGATATTTCTTTGATAGCTGCTGAAAGACTTTGGTTAGAGCCACCCAATAGCTCAACAACTTTGGTGGTTTTTTCTTCAAGAAAAGGGTAGATGTGGCACTGAGTGACATAGCGTGGAGTGGTCACAGGCATAGACCGATGATTAGACTAGATGGCCCTTCCAACCTTAATGACTCTATGATTCTATGATTCAACACAATGCTGAGCAGGTCAACCCTTGACTTGAAACAGCTGGACTCAACCCTCAGCGTCAGGATCCGTCAGTTATGCTGATCCACAGCAATGCCTATCAGCAAGACCAGAAGGCAGTACCTACATTAAAGCTAGCTGCAGTGATGAAACTCACATTTTGCAATCATGCTTCCATCTTCATCCCAAGCTGAATTGCAGCATCTATGTTGGAAAGGGTGGGAATATCCATGAGAGGAACTGAGAACTCAATAAATGGTGTCACCTCAATATAGAGAGATCAGCATGGGTGCTTTCAGCATTAGAGGAGTACAGGCAGAAAGCTGAGGCTGTAGAGGAAGAGCTACAATGAAAACCATGGGCAAACAGTAACAGATGGGGGTCTGATTCCTTTTACAGGAATGATGGGTCACAGCCAGAGTTAAGGGTTGATCTTAAGCCCGAAAGGCAGCAGCAATTGTTTGAGGATTGTCTGGGATTTCTCACCAAACAAGGGCAATTTGCAGTTTCCAAAGAGATGGGGACATTGTGCAAAGGAAGACTAGTGAGAGGGCAGTGAGCCTTCTCAGGAGCCGAGCTGTCTCTTAATCATGAAACCACAGATGTCTTTGGCCAGGACCTGAGCGGGATGCCTAACCCCTAGCATAGGACATGCTTGACACGGTCTCTCTTTGTTGTGATTTCTGGCCTCATGTTCACTTGTAAATACAAATTTGGTCAGCCCCTGTCACAGTAGCCTGCTCTCCCATTTCCCCTTCTCCTCGCCCTGTCCTGCTTAGAGCACAAGATCACAGTTTGGAGAAGGCAGGTGGAGTTGTAGATATCACCTGCCTCACCCTCATAACCAAGGCTCAGGTGCTACTGAATTAACATCCCACAGACAGTGCTCCTTTCTCCTCACCTGCAGCTCCCTCTGGCCAAGTAGCTTGTCATGGCCAAGGGCACTGTTTGCAGCAACAGCATAAGGTCAACTCGCTTCCTTCCACTTACATAAAGAAGACATCTCCTGGCTAGAAGGCAAGAGGAGAAGAAATTTATCCCACTGACAAGTTCCCACATAGCAGAATGAACCTGTGCCACCAAAATCTGCTGTGACTTATACTCATCTTCCTCATCTCCATCTTTAGCAGATCAAATGTGCTGACAATCAGCCAGGACATCCACTTGTTAGCTGACCAGCCAAACACTGATAAATAATGAGGTGATTGGAGGTGACAATTACCAAATCTAACTGTCCTGGCTCTGTCCTTCTCAACCCACAGTGGCCCTTCCCATGCCAATCCTGTCCTGAAAATAAAAAGGCCAATACCCCTGCATCTTCAGTGCGGTGAAGAGGGTAGGAGTGCTGCCAGGAACATGGTGAGCAGAGACCTTCCTTTCCTTGAATTCATGCATGCCTCATAAGGACATTGATCTCCAACCTTTAGGTTTTGGCATCTCTCCATAGTGGCTTCAACCCAGCGGTAGGAAGGGAGACACAGCATTGTACCAGTGCTAGTAGCTGATGGCCCACAGACAATGGGACATCCCACTACTCCCTTTCCTCCAAGAGTGGATACTCTGTTGTGCTAATGTCAGGCATTTTTATTCTGGACTCCTGAAAAGCCACTGGAGAGCCCTGGGATTCAAACAGACAAGCATGGGCCACCAAAGAGAGACTCAGTTCTAAAGGTGAAATTTCCTTGATGTGAATGCCCTTCCAGCATCTCCTCTGGGTCCTGGGATGGTATTCCCTCTCTTGCTGTTACCTGTTATCCATAAGCTAGTCTCTAATCTTCCCAGCAAGTTTTGGAGGAACATTCTTGGGCATGCATGACTCCTGGAGCTGATGTCTACCAAGAACAGGTTACAGAGCACAGCTTCCAGAATCACTGCAGGAGACATGGAACCTCCCCATCATTTTTTAAACAGCCTCCCCCATGAGCAAATATCTAGAAATTTCCTTTCATGGTCCACTATTTCTTGCAAAGAAACAATCCCTCCTCATCCAGCCACTTGTGTCATAGGGTGCTCAGAGACCTGGACCAAAAGCTGGAACAATTTTGTTCCCTCCTGAGCTTCAGAAGGTAGGAGGCTCTCCCTGCTACCTCTGCTGACATTGATGGCACCAACTAGAAGTACCCAACAAGCCTCTGGGGTTCTGCATGACTGACTGGGGTGAGAGAAGAGGATTCAGTCACGTCCTCGGCCCTAAAGAGATGGAGAACCAGTGGGCCTCATAGAAAGGGAAGAAGAAAGCATTTCAGTGTGTTTCTGTTTCGCCTCTTTTTTCTTCCTCTTGAGGAAATCACAGAGCGTCTTGTGATTTAGAGACAAATATGCAAGACAAGGAAAGATTGAAGCCACAGGCTTGGCCTGCTGCCTGATTTTTTTCCTCTTCTTTCAGCATAATTACAATTGAGCCATGTAGTAATTGGGTAACTTTTTCCAAAGGGATCCTTTCACCCAGAGTGAATCATGCTTGCCATAAAGGGTACACAAAGTGGAGGCAGCTAAAAGACCTATAGATCCCAGAGTTTATTATAACAGAGCATTTTGCCCCCATCCCTCTGTTCCTCAGCTCTTCAAACATGCCTAGAGTAGTTGCAAGAGCCTGACACTGAGCTTTCTAGGATGATTCCTCCCCATTTCTCCAAGAGGACTCCTCCAGGCTTGCTGCTCCAGCGTGGTTTTGAGGGAATCTAGGGATCTGCAGAAGTCGCTGCTTTCCCTTTTTTGGATCCTGTACCTACAAGAGCTGGTGGCAAGGTCTGGGTCAGCAGCTGAACAGCTCTAGGGGATCACAAGGCTTGCTGGTATGGCTGAGGCTCCCCAAATGCAACATCAGTCCTCTGTACCTGGACCATAGAGAGTTCCTGAGGCACTGTATACCCTCAGTGACATTCTGGCTCCTGGTTTAGCGGAGATGAAGAGCCCAGCCCTCAGACACTTTCTGCCAAGCCTTGATCCATCTGACCATTTTCCATGTGGGATGAAAGGCTTGGATAAAATACTCATTGTGAAACTATTTTCCATTGAGTTCATGGCCACACACAGCTGGATCTCTTCCTGGAGTGGCCAGCAGCCTGCTTGGAAGGGTTGGGATTAGCATCCCGGAGAGGGGCCTGGATGAGGGAGGGAGGAGACATGTCTTCCCTTCCCCCAGACCAGCTCCTCCCACCTTATTCTCGATCCTATTGGCAGCTGGGGTTGGTGAAGGGCTGGCTCTAGTCAGCTCTCCATCTATTTAAAGGCAAGGGTGTGGTCCTGCAGCTACTTGCCTGGGACTTTTGCACCTTGGAAGAGAGGAGCATCAGCCTGCATAGCAGCACCATGTCTTGTGTGAGTAGGGAGGGAATGGGAGGATGGAGCCCAGGAGGGCTATGGGGAAGATGTTGGCTTGGCAGCAGGGTGTGCTACCCTCTACCTGCTCATCAGTCCCTGTGTTGGAGGCTCTGTTAGAGCTCCATGTTCTGCTGCTGGGGGAGTCAAGATCCCTGCTGCACCTACTACAGAAGGGTGACTGCTATTTCTTGTTCAGTCAGGAGTTTGGTTTTTTTTTTCCCCTGCAGGATTCCTCTGGGGAGATATGTAGGGGGTCCTTGCTGGATTGGTTCCTGAGCTGGGGTAACCTGTTTTGCAGAGGTTCTGCTCCAGGGAGGCAGCTGAAGTAGTATTTATTGCTTTCTAAGCGTCTTCTTTTCTGGGCTGCCCTATTGCTTGCTTCCTGGCTGCAGTTTTCATGAGTCACTCAGTCATTATTTCTTGTACAAAAATGCACTTCTCTAAAGTGCCCTTCTCTGAGTACCAAGGACTGTTGAAGGGATGCTTGTATCAGGGAAGTGTTTGCACTTTGATTTCTTGCAGTAGTCTGAGAAGGAATAATCAGGGAGTGCCCCAAGTGCAAATGAAACCTTAGTAGAAGAAAAAATTCTTGTGGTCACGCCAGGGAACAGACTGGGCAATGAGCACATATGGGTATGAGTAGTAGGATATTTTTTTCTGTTTGACAAAACGCAGAAAGGTGCATGCAAATTTCTTGCAAATGTTAAATTTTCAGGAAGTAAAGCCCCTGGACACAAGGGAGTGGAATGTCTGAGCTCCTGGACCCGAGCAAGGTTTGAGGTCCAAATCCAAGCCAGGGGAACGGAGCGGAGGCTCCATCCCTGCACATCCAGGTTCCTTGGGATGATATGAGACCCATACAGTACATGGGTGTGTTCAGGACAGAATGGGTGTGATGGGAGCTTGCAGGTACTTTCACTTCGTTGCCATGAAATATAGACACGTTGATGACAGCAGCAAAGAAGGAGGTTGGGAAATCGGGCACATGGTTTGTCTGATTGGAGTGACTTCTCTGGGGTGTCCCATGTGCCTTGCCCTAGGGAAAGGGAGCGTCCCTGTCTCTCCCTTGGTCCAAGGCAATGTACTATACTGAGGCAGCAAGGAGAGCTGCCAAAACAAGTGAGCTAGCAGGTGCTGAGCTAATGTCTCTGCTTCCATGTTTAGCAGGGACCAGTGTGCACCAACCTGGGTCTCAAGCCTGGCCAGCGCCTCACTGTCAAGGGGATAATCGCACCAAATGCCAAAAGGTAAGCTGAGCTGTGCCACCCAGGTGTGGCCAAAGCACCATGCTGAGTTGGCTTCTGCTAGTGAGGACAGAAGGAATCCCCTCCCTTGGGTGGGAGTGGAGCAGCTTTGAAAAGGGTTAACACCAACAGTGTTTCCCGGTGAGTCATTGCCTAATGCACATTGCAGACATGCTCTACTGCCAAGGGACTAAGCCAGAGCAGATGTGAAGCTCCAGCTGCACGCACTGGCAGCGACCACATCCTCTATAGCACAGAGTAAAGGAAATGGAAGCTCAATCTATACTGAGATGTGGCTTGTGACCATCCTAAAAAGCCGCATCCTTTCCCCTGCACGAAGGTTGCCCAGGAGCACCATTTCTGTACTTTGCTGTCTTAGGCAGAACACTACAGCTCAAGCAGCTGGGGACATCTTGGGTGTTCTTGTCATGGATGCTCTGAGCCACAGACCCATGATGAAGCCAGTGGTAAAACTACTGGTCCCACTGGAGGTGATAGTGTGGTCTCAGGGTGTTCATCCAGTAGAGATGCCTCTTGTATGCTGGTGGGGAAGGAATGGGGAAAACGTAGTGAGTGGACAGGTGCACCAGAAGTGCTCTTATCTCTGCAGGGATCAATGGCTGGGGCCCAGGGTTGGGGACTCTGCAGTAGTTCCCAATCCTCATGCAGCTCTGCTATTGGCAGGACTCCTTGTTAAGTGAGGTGGAGCCTGGAGTGCTGTACCAGCACTAGCGGTGTTCCAGGAAACATGTCCCAGCTCTTCCCAGTGCCTTTGAAGTTTGATACTGTCGGCGTGAAGCCTCCTGGGCTTTCTCTTGCCAAATAATATTCCTCCTCACTTCTCATCTCAGTAAGAGGCCTGGAGGCAAGGTGGACAGCAGGCTGGGAAGTTGTTTCCTCCCACTACCATTGCAAGACGCTTTGGGATAGCTAATGAGATGGTAATTACTGCAGCTGCCTGCAGGGTGGGGAGAAGCAGTGGCTGTCAGGCAGGGTGCAGCACCAGCTAACTGTTTAGGGCTGGAAAGAACGCAGTGACAAGCAGCTTCTAGGGAGCTGGTTTGGGTGCAGAGTAACCCCATGTTCAGGGCTGCACACTGAACCTCGGCACCATCGGCTGGGCTTGACAGAACAGACCTAGACTCAGTGTGCAGCATGCAACATGGTGTTTGTCTCCTTTCTTTGCAGCTTTGTGATGAATCTGGGCAAGGACTCAACCCACCTGGGACTTCACTTCAACCCCCGCTTCGATGCTCACGGTGATGTGAACCTCATTGTGTGCAACTCAAAGAAAATGGAAGAGTGGGGTACAGAGCAAAGGGAGACAGTCTTCCCTTTCCAGAAGGGAGCTCCAATAGAGGTACAGCTTGGGATACACTCTCCGTATGTACTGTACTCTGAGCTGTCTGTACAGGGGGTGGCTGGCTTCTCCTGCTTGCTCAGTGCCACCATCCAGATCTCTGAGCAGTGGCAAAGGGTGGGAATCAAATGTGCAAGCTCTGTGTAGCTCCAAGAGATGTTACTGTTGAACTCAGCAAGGCATAGGCATCACTTGGAAGACTAGAACACTCCTGCTGCTGAAGAGCAAGCTGTGCTGCTGAGCGTGTTCACTCTGAAGAATGGGGAAGGCTTGAGGGTATCCTGACATAAGTTTTCTCTGACTTTTGCATTTGTTTTGCAGATCACTTTCAGCATCAACCCAAGCGATGTGACTGTCCACCTGCCAGGCCACCAGTTCTCATTCCCCAATCGGCTTGGTCTTTCTGTCTTTGACTACTTTGATACGCATGGAGACTTCACGCTCCGGTCTGTCAGCTGGGAGTAACTCCTCACATCTGTCTCAAAATTTAAGAAAGTAATCAATAAATGTGTTTTCTTCTACTTGGTCTCAAGGATTAACCTTTCTTATATCACAAACCTACAGGGTTGGACAACTGGGGAACCTGGGATGGCAGTAACTTACTGTGTAGGAATGTCAGATGTGGGTGGGAGTGATCATTGGTCCTCAAAGTCATGGTGGGAAAGGGGAAGCTAGGTTGTGCCAAGAGCATAGGAAGTAAGAAAGTGAAAAGTCCAGGAAGAGTGTGAATGGGAAACAGTGTTAGGGCCAGATACTGCTGTGCAGGAAAAAAGTGGAAGGGTACCTTTGGCAAAGCCACTGACTCTTTCAATCTGATGCTATGTAAAGATGTAAGCAGCACTGAGTAGTGCTGCTGGGAAGGCTGTGCCTTGATAGAAGAACGCAATCTTTAGGACCTTACTTCTGGGCTGGACCACAAGCAAGGTGAAGGACAAACACTTTGATGTCCTACAAAGGTACCCTGCAGGCCTGGCCAGGCTGTTTCTTTCCATTAGGCAGCTGCAGAGCAGCTGGTGCACAGGAGCTTGTTCCTAAGGCAGCAGCACCTCCCATTCTTTTTCCATAATTCATGAGGATTTGCCAGCTGCTGTGTCTCAGGGACTCATGCAGAATAAGATTCATCTGCTAGGAAATGTGGGCTGGGGAAGAGAAGCTAGGCTCAAGATGGACTTTTGGGATTGGAGGCAGGAATACTTGGGGTGTACAAGCAGGTTGAGGCTCTTAAACCAGATCTCTTGAAGCCTCCTGTTGTTCAAAACCAGTCTGCTCTGTACAATTGCAGCCTGCTCTTTAAGGCTACGTCTGTGATAGTAAAAACAGCATCTAGTATTGCCACCCTTCTCTTGAGTCTCTGTTCTCTCAGCTCTGCTGCTGGATAAAGCTGTCTTGTCTGGGAATAAGAAAGTTTAGCTGTATGGAATTGAGCTGCGCTGGGTAAGATGGACTCAAGATCTAAGACCTGGCTCAGTTTATGTCACCGAAGTTGTCACAACCTGGGGTATATTCAGCAGGACAGAGGGCCAGGGATGTCCTTGCCCACAGCAGGGACACAGTGCTGGTGATAGGCAGGTTAATGAGCTCTTATGAAGGGCAACCTCACACATAGCACAATGTCTTCAAATTGCACTTGGGATTCATTTTTCAGAAAGATTCCTCAAAAATATTGGTGAGAGTGAGGGGAAGGAAATTGAATGAAATTTTCACCACAGGCCGGGGATGAATCTTATTCAGGTCTCCTGCTAGCGTGGTTGCTTCTTCATGTGACTCACAGCTCCCATGATATTTGTGAGTCACTGTTGTCTGGGCTCTGTTACAGCTCTGTCCGTTGCCTGAGAGGCGGTGAGGGTGGTTGAGCTCCTTGAAGATATAATTAAGGCATATAGATGCTGACTGCACCCTTTCACCCACTCTGGCCTTGCATAGGGTGAGGGCTGGAGGACTCCTCACACATGCCAGAACTGGGATCCCTGGGAAGAGCATCCTCAAGCAGTCTTGCAAAAGGCACAAAGGAGAACATGCCAGGTTGATGACAAGGATGGAACACACCACAAGACAGCACATAAGACAGCACTTTTATTTCATTACTCAACCCTCACAAAAACCCAGGTGATATCCCTCACTCAGGGCACTGCTTGTCACCCAGGGCTCCCCCTGCTATTCCCCACGAGCCCCAATATTTACACAGAAGCCATGAAGGTGCTATGGCCTCCTCGTGTGTTTGGGATGCCGGCGGTAGCTACTGGCTAGCAGGGTGTAGAGGAAGGGATTGATACAGCTGTTGCCATAGGCTAAGCAAGTGACACCAAAGTTGAGGTAGGCCTGGGCAGTAGGGCCCATACCTATGCCCTCATGCTGGTACAGCCCGGCCAGTTGCCAGCTCCAGAAGGGGAGGAAGCAGGCCCAGTAAGCCACCACAATGGCAGAGATCCTGGAGGAGAGACGCTGGGAGGGAGCCCGGCCGGCCGCTGACAGTCCCGGGTGCCAGGTGGAAGAGCGGTACACCCGGACCAGGAGGGTGTAGACAATGATCAGCACCACACCGGGCACCAGGATGCTGGTGGCAAAGAGCACCGTCAAGTAGAGGCGGAAGGCTGCTGGCGTCCACGTGGGGATGCAGATGCGCTTGTTGGGACCATCGCCCTCCCGCAATTGGGTCATTGCCATCATGGGGGCTGTAAGCAGGAAGGCAAGGAGCCAGAGGATGGCACTGGCTGGCTTGCGGTAAGCGCTGCCAGCCCTCCTGGACCGCAGAGGCCTGGTTACTGCCCAGTATCTCTCCAGGCTCATGGCAGTCAGGAGGAAAACGCTGGCATGCATGGTGAGGAGGTCCAAGCTGAACAAAAGCTTGCAGCCCACATCTCCAAAGAACCAGTCATGGGTGAAGTAGGTGCAGACCACGAAGGGGATGGTGGAGAGGTACAGGAGGTCAGCCAGGGCGAGGTTGATCACATAGACCCCCAGGGAGCCTGCCGAGCGGCCTGCCACTTTGCCAGAGGCCACCAGCACCGTGTAGATGTTCCCCACCATCCCAATGAGGCACATGAGCAGCAGCACTGTGCCCAGAGGCCCTGTCACTGGGCTGTCCCCTCCTAGAACACTGCTGATGTCATCCTCACCGCTGCTTTCCTCTAAGAAGCTGCCACCCTCAAGGTCCTCTCCAGGCGTTACATTGATGAGGGAAGAGTTGCAAGACATCTTTGGGGATGGAGTGAAAGAGCAATCAGGCTGCTGGAGACCCTCTCCTTCTTCCTGCTTTTCTTGCTTGCTGTAGGGGGCACAGCTACTTCTAACAAAAGCAGCCAAGGAAGGGATGAATGGCACAAACTCAGCAAACCTAAGTCTCCAGAGAAGTCTATTCCTCACCTCCAGCCATCCAGTCTATTTTGCCAATCTCGTTCACCACAAGTGCCGTCTGCTGGTTTTCCTCAGGCTGAAAAAGCAGCACCGTTTCTCCTTCAAGACTGATAGGTGCAAAGAAATGTCTGCCAGAAGAAATGTCTGTCTTCTTCACCAGCTCCTCACTTGTTGCTCCTCCAGTATTCGCTGGGCAGAAAATCAGCAGCCTCTGGACAAGTGCATTCCTCCTTCTCTCCAGTCTCTGTATTCTCTCAGCTCTGCTGCTGGGTAAGCGTCCCCCCAGCCCAGCCCTGGAGAGCTGCCTTGCCCACTGCACAGGAATGCATCTGACTCAGCTTCACACACAGGTGTGAATGTGGTCCCAATTTGTACTGAGCTGCTAGTCACCAGCCAAGGAGACAAGGGGAGCTCCTATTTTAGAAGATACATTCCTTCTTCCTTCTCTCCTCCTTTTTTTTTTTACTCTCTTTCTTTTCCCCATTCCCTCTTGCTCAGTCTTCCTCCTTTGAAGGAAGATTTAATGAAGGATAAGACTTCTGAGTCTGGCAAGAGGGGAAAAACAATTGAGGCTCTAAGAGAGAAACAAGGATCAGCCCTGAAAACTGAAAAAACTGATGCTGCCCCCTGACCCTTAGCTAAGCTAAGGTAAGAGGGCCTGCCCTGCACTCAAGGCCAAAGATCTCCTGAGGTGCAGTCAGTGCATTTAGTCCCTAGTCTTGCAATCAAAGACTCCCGCAGACCACCAAAGATCTCCCATTCTTATAGCCTGGCACTCTCCCACCCTTGTCATTAGTAACCATCAAGCTCCTAAAGATCAAGGGACTATTTATTTCAGTTCCACTCCTTCCTTCCTCTCTCCAAAGGCCACCCTCCTCCTCCTCTAAGATCTCCTTCGCCTGCCTCGCAAGAGCAGGAAGCAAAAGTGTGTTGGGCAGCACTGCCTTCTACTGGAGTACCACAGTATGACATTCGTGCTGCAAGGCCCTTTGTGCCAACCACTGCCCTGCTCTCTTTTTCCCACATCTGAGCTTCGTTTGTCTTAGAGAGCAGACATAAGACTTCCCTTATACACTACTGCATAAATGTATATTACATATACATATATAACGTACAGGTGAGAAAGCAAGTGACAGGACTTTGACACCCAGAGAATAGGGCAGTAGATACTCATATATTCCAACTTCAGACATCAACCCCTAGGCTGTATTAGACTCAACAGTGTGTCAGAAGTATATAGAAGACATGCTATTGACTGCTCCCTGCAGGAGCCAGCCTCTCTCTATGGGTTTAACTACAGAGACTCAAATCTGACAGCTGAACTTCAGTAACATGGATGTCCCTCACAGTATCTTCTCTAGGGCAGTATTTCATCTCCCACCACTTTTTTCTTGTGGGTACACACACACTGTCCATTTACATATACATACATAACTGTTGTTTCTGAGCTCAGGAGCAGTCAGAAGATGATCTCCATACAAACATGGTCAGAAGCTCTCAAGCCCATATAGATGGGAAGAAACACATCTCACATGACTGTTAGATTAAATCTTTTACATGACCTTTTTCAAATGTAGCTCTAGCTGATTAAATAACCAGATGTTTTACATCTCTGTCACCAGCAGAGAAGTCACTTCTTGTAATGAAAGTCTCTCCTAGTCCAGTAGCCTCTACAGCCAACTGCATTATCTCCAGTAAGGCAGCTGTTTTCTTGTACAAGGTTAAACCTTGTGCATTCTTGCATAAGGCTGCCTGCAGTTTCCTGCAAATGTGATGCTAGGTCCCATGTCCAACACAGCAAGTGCTAAGTTTTTGAGGCCCTATCAACAGGCAAGGCCTGTTCAACATCCAGTCAGATCACAGCAATTTACCACTGACAGTTTGCACTGAGGATTCAGTCTCACAAAGTCTTGGACTTGAAGCAGCTTAAAAAGAAGATTATTCTTGGAGAGAAAAAAAAAAAAAAAAAAAGTGCTTCAAAGAGTAGGCTGCAATAGCACTGTGTTTCTCTGACATCAATCTTCTCTCCTCTTCTGATAGCCCACCCAACAGGACCAGGTAGAGTTGAGTTACAGCAAGATTCCTGTCCGGCTTCCTATGATTTAAACTTGAAGTAGGCTTCAACTGTAGAGAAGAAAAAAGGCATTGCATTAGGGCAATACTCTGTGGCAGGGCAGCAAGAGGAGAAGGAAACACCGTCCAAGCACTTACTGGCATATTCCTGTGGTGTCATGGCCTGGTTGATGATGCTTGTGAAAGCTGTGATCCAGTCCAGCTGGTCAGCCTCTGTCTCGCAGGTGAAGAGGTATTCTCGGTCAGGCGTGACAATGGTGATGCCATAGGGCCAAGAGAAGTTGCCTTGTGTCCCTGAAGGCAATCCCTTCTGGACGCTATAGCCATTCTCTCTGCTGCCCACAAATACCTCACCCTTAGCAAATGCATCCTGCACATCCAGAGGGAAAGAGAGGGATTAACTGTACCCAAAAAGAACCAACTAATAATAGCAGAGCTCCTGCGGGCAGCAGGAGAATGGGTAAGGATCAAAGAGATAGCAGCAAGAAGACTTGAAGGTGGTCAGGGGATTCAGAACCTGGAGGCTATGCCCAAAGACAGTGGAAAGGAAAACTTAGGAGAACAGGCCTCGAGAGGTCTGAGAGAGGGAAAGCTGCATCTGCCTCTCCATCAACACCTTCCATGGCATCACCCTTGACACCACGACCCTTGCACCACAACCTTCCCTGTTCCCATTGTTTGCAGGCAGTAAGCAAACAAAGAAAGTGCAGGATGAACAAAGTGGGATGGAAAGGGGAAGACCTAGAGTCCATTCAGAGCCACTGGGAAACCCACAAGCCTCCCTTACAACAGAGCAAAGCAAAGAAGCAAGACTCTGTTTGCACTCTGACCCTGCCCTCAGCACTGTTGCCTACAGTTGTCAGAGGTCAGATCTCGCCCTCACCAAAGGGTCCTTGAAGTACATGAGCCTGCGGTGATCCAGTGTGAACCAACGCTTCTTAAAAGCCTCTCTCTGCTGTAAAGGGAAGAGGTGACATACGTAAGATGACAGCGCCCTCTGCCGTGAGCAGTGCGAAGGGATGCCCAAAATTCAGCACAACTGCTTGAACCAAGCCCCTGCCTTAACAGCAGCCTTCTTTCTCCCTCTAAGCTGAGAGTGAGGAACTGAAAGCAATTTTTCAGTCCCACTGCAGTGTCAAAAGAATAGAGGGTGGGGATGGGGAAACTGGGAGAAAAACAATGGAGTGAGGAAAATCAATGGCTCTCTGGGAGGTCCCTGCTGGATTTCTTCACCCCCAAGCAGCTCACCTTGGGACCTGTCTTCTCCATGTATCCTTCCTTCAAAAAGTTTCTTGTCAGCCGGCTTTTAATCTGACAAAAAGGTAAGAGTAACATTCACTTAGCCATGTTGCTTTGCTGTTCACTTCCAACACCATGGCCTTCCTTCTTTTTGCCCAAATTCAGCTCCCTTTTAAATTCATGTTTGTAGAACTGCCTTAGCTAGGAGTCACTTTGGTCTCCAGAGTGTCCAGAAATAGGAGAAATGAGCTGCTCTCTGTCATCCCAGGCTCCTGTATGCACACTTTTTCACTTCTCTATCTAAATACTACAATTTCCACTTGTGTGCCTGGGGATCTAATAACAACTAATGGGCTCTTTTATCAGAGCAACCGAACATCAGCAGGAGACTCAGCACTGCACTCTAGTGCTGCCTTACCTCATTATCGCTGGCTATGGGAAATGCTACCTTCAGATAATGGAACTGCACGGACCGAATGGCATTGAACCAGTCCACCACCTCCTGAAAATAAAACAGGAGAGAACAGAAAGCTTAGGGACAGCCACAGTGAGACACTCAAGCTCATCCAGCTGCACCCCACGTTATGTCAGCTGCAAAAACAGCCAGCTTTCCCTTCTCCAGGCCTCACCCTCACACACACAGACAGACAGCACAGGCGGTACATCTGCACACCTTCTGCAGCAGCTCCTCCCACAGAAACCCACTCAGCCAGTGCTCTTGCTCTGCTCCTTGCAGCAAAACTCTCACAGACACACAGAGAATCAGAATTCTCAACCTGTTTACCTACAGCAATTCCCACACATGCACACACCTTCTATCCCAACTCATTCCTCATGCTACTCGGTATCAGTTAATTCTCCAATCAGCCTCAATGTCTTTGCAGTGTGATGCTAAACAATATACCTTTCCACTTTTATGGTAGACAAATATATTCCGAGTCTTGTTGTCTTTGAGATAGGTGATCTGCAAGCCATTGGGGTTCCCAATCTTCTCTGGTTGGAATGTAGCATTGATGACATCTATTTTGACATTGATTTTGGGTTCTTTGGCCTGAGAACAGAATAGCATTGGTCATGTATGAGCAATTCTAGTGGGAAAGTGATCTAAGTGACTGACTTAGGAGGATAAAGCAGGGTTAGAAGGTCTTAAAAATGTACTAACTGCCCCTTCCCATCAAAACAGTTGTACACATTCTCTTTCCTATGTGGCATGCCCAAACAATGGCTCAGCCCTTCCAAAATAAATTTGAACTGTGCCTACTCTGGGACAACCAGTGAGATGCTGAAAGCGCATCTGACTTTACAGCTGACCTGGTCTAAAGGCTAACTGGCCCCAAAAGGAAAGACTTTACACCTAGCCCTCCCTATCCTAAGCCATTCCCTCACTTGTGGCAGTATACTAGCATTTGTCCCATTTTTTCAGGGAGACAAACTAGCAGAAAAGCCCTACTTGAAGTGTTTTTGGCAACTTAGTTCACAGTAAGGTGAGGTTGGTTCCAAGGACAGTGCAGGGTTGTACAGCCAGGGAAATGGACTAGGATGAAGTGAAAGATCAACCTTCCGATCAGCAGTGATGTTGTAGGACTGTATCTCAGCCCTGCACTCGGAGATTAACAAGTGAGACAAGAAAAGAGGAGTCTCATGGAAGTGCTATTGCTTCCCTGCCATGAGCAAAGAAACTGTTGAAGAGGTAAGGATGTGGTGAAGCACGAAGTGAAGATGCAGGGGAAATGTCAGTAGTTGGAAGGGAATCCCTCTTCTGTGATGTGTTACCATCTCTGGCTGAGTGAGTAAGGAAATCTCACAGAGATAGAAGAGTCTCCATAACCCCACAGCCCTGAGTTGATCACCATACTTACATCCTGCTTGGTGAAATACTTCAGACATCCCTCTCTCTCTGACAACAGGAACTTGCGGGGTTGGAACTGCCCACTGTCTCGACCTCGCTTCCAGAGGATGCCTTCCTTCACCCCTAGGAGTAGAAAGGTCAGTTTGAAGACTATCCTCCCAAGAGGAATCCACCAGCAAAGCAAATGGTTTTGAGCAACACCAGCTGGTAATATCGTGCTTGGAAACAACCTACAGCAGTGCCAAACTACACTTCCTACAATTTAAACACCTCCAAGCCCATGCTCTGTACCTATCAGGCAGGTACTCGGGAATACTAGTGGGATTTGCAGCTTTGATGAGCTTTCTCTTCTTGGTACTCAAAAGCTTCCAGAAAAGGCAACAGGCAGCAATTCTGAAGTTATGCCCTGCTCTTACCATCTGTGTACAGTAGCTGTTTTCCAAGCTCAGTGAACTCTTTCCGTTCGTATTTGGCCCGTATCCACTGTTCTCTCAGCACCCTACAAGGAGAGGTGACAGCTTAGAAACAAACTACGGCAATCCAGAACTGCCATCCCCCTTTTCATTTGTATGCAGCAACTTACTGGCAGTCATTGTAGGTTGGCTGGTAATAGTAAATAGGGATGTGAGCTTCATACATGGCCTTAGTCACAGCATTCCCATGCTTGGCCAGAAACTGCAGTTAGAAAGAGAGTTAGTGCCTTCTCTTTGATGTAGACTTATGTTGTGTCTAGATGGAGCTGGCAACTGAGAAATCAGTAACCATGAGCAATAAAGACCCTAAACATTGGCAAGATAAGATGCAAGAGATCTGTGCCAGCCATAAAGTAATAGGGCACGAAGAGGCACTCAAGGCAAGCACATCCTCCCAGCAATTTAAGAGGAATTATCCCCAGCTGCGCACACGTAGCAAAGTTACATTGATCTCCAACTTTGTGAGGCCAAAGGCCAAAAGAAGAGTTGGTGTACATCCTAGACTCAACCCCAACATACCAGTGGGACAAAGTTCTCACCTGCACCTGAGCATCATCCCAGTGGTCCATCTTCAGGGATTTGACTTTGCTGATGCTAGGGATGTTCCGGTGAATTCCTGAGCAGCTAAGGCATATAAAGACACCCAAGGTAGAGGATGCCCAGTCAGGATCTGAGGGCATAAAAAAGGGGCGAAGATATGACCAGAAGTGGTAAATTCCTTGGGGGGATATGCCTCAAATGAGAATGCATTACTAAGAAATGGAGATCTTGGTAACCATGGTTTCAGCTGAGCTGACTAATTAACCAAGCATACAGAAGGCAGTCTAGAAAAAGCATCATACTGCTGCATTCCTCCTGCTTCAATTGCTTAATCTGAATCTCAATTAACTTGAACCTTGGAAAACTCCAAAGCGCTCTGTAAATTCCCTTCGGGTAAAGAATCATCTGAGACTCCAGGAGCTGTTTCGTGCAACACAGCAAACCCACAATACTATTTAGCTCAGGAAGTGAAAAGCAACTGTAAAATCAGAATTCTCAGGGGAAAATTTAAGAAGGTAAAGTGGTATTAATTAGACAAATTAATTTGTCTTGGATGGTACAACCCACATGTACCTTTTGGAAGAAATGCAACAGTCATTTTTAGCAGTACTGGCAGACTTCAAACCGGTACCCTTTGTAGAGGATAAGCTCTTAAGTACAAGAAACCTCTCAGGTTGTCCATGGCAAGCTGTCAGTTCAGAGCTGAGTCACAGACAAGACAATGCCCTCCTGAATCATGCCTTTTTTCTGGAGCAGTTAGGTTTCCACTGGGAACTTTCTTCTCAGGTCCTGACTGGGCATGACTTTGATTTGTGTCTGAGATCCAACACGACTGCAATCCACAGTGCTGCAGCTTTGGCGCTACCTCGTCCCTGTCCTTTCCACCAGCACTGTGGCAGCATCTCCTTTGTCTTCCCTTACTCCCCCACCTCTGGGACCCCCTGCAGCCTGGACAAATGGAATTAACTCACACAACACTGCTGGGCTTTGCACAGGTTCCAACAACCATCCCCTAACATCACTCCTTTCCATTCTCATATGCCTCAATGCACTGAGCTGGCCGCAACGGCTACTAGAGACCAAACCCAGTCCTTTTCTTCTGACCCATCCTCAGAAGATCCAGCCCTCAGGGACTCACCCGGCTTCCCGCAGTCTGCACACAATGAGTTTTCTGCTCTTCTCCACACCTCCCTCAGGGCCTTCATGCTCTTATCACCTCCAGCCATGGTGTCAAATTGTCACCCTCTTGGGCAGTGCAGGTGCCCGTGTCTTCTGCACCTGCGGTGCACCCTGAGGGAGAAGGAGCCACCAGCAGGCCTTGCAGGAACAAGATGGGAGGGCAGGAGAAGCCCTGAGATTAATGGAATGAATATGCAGGCCTAATGGTGCACCTGAGCCGGCAGAGAACAGGCTGGGGCAAAGAGGCCGAAGTGCACCCAGGCTGGGAGAAAAGAGGAGGAGGAGGCAGCCGAACCCATGGGCGTGGAGGGAAGTGCAGTAATTAACCACAGAACTGGTTTTTCCGCATTTCTGCTGGGGAGAGGACTGGCCAGGAAAAGAAGCCCAGTAGCCAGAGAGCTGATAAAGACAAGGTGACCTGGGACCAGGCGGCAGTGCTTGCCACGCTCTGTGGGCTGACTCTGCCAACGCTTCCCTTCACAAACACTTGCGGAGCTTCCACTGAAGTCAGCTGGCCGCCAAGCAAGAGTCTCACTCATTAAAGCGAGGACGGGAGGTCACGAGGGGTTCAAGAGTTCAGCTAAAGCCAACCCAGTCAGCCAGCAGCGAGACCACTCCCCACCACAACTGCTCCCGCGTCTCGGAGACAGACTCAGAGCTGAGATCTACCCTCACACACACCTGCCCGGGCTAAGTAGCACAACCCAGACACCACCGCACAACGACACACTACTTAGAAATAATGTTTTTATTAAAGACGCGCCTAGGCACAAAATGGCGGCGAAGGGACGGCCTTCACAGCGCCACACCTCCCACAGGGCAGTGCTGTGCGGAGCCGGAAATGGACAGACCGGAAGAGGCGGGGACTCCTTGGACCGGAAGAGGGGTCTGACCGGAAGTGGGGTGGCGGCAGCGTGGGTTAGCCATGGGTCGGAAGAAGAAGAAGAAGGGGTCTGGAAGTGCGGCATCGCGGCTGGTGGTGACTTTTGATGAGGAGAGGCGGAGGTGAGGTTATGAGGGCTTCCAGGTGGCAAAGTGAGCGGGGAACGGGGTCGCTGGAAGCTGAAGGTTTGCTCTGTTCCCGGTGTTTAGGGAGTACCTGACTGGCTTCCATAAACGGAAGGTGGAGAGGAGGAAGGTGGCCCTGGAGGAGATCAAGAGGAAGCTGAAGGAAGAGCAGAGGAAGATGAAGGAGGAGGTATAGCTCCTCCTGATGACAAAGGGCCTTTTGCCATGTCAGGGTTGTGGGGCAGGCACGTAGCAACTGTTTCCTGGGGTCCTCGTACTTCCCTTTCCTCACTTAGAGGGAGAATGGGACCTCGTGGGTGGAGGGGTTGGGGTGGAATGGACACTTATAACAGCAAGGTTGCTGTAGTGACCTGTTTGTCTCTCCCAGAGGCACAAGGAGTACCTGAAGATGCTGCGTGAAAGGGAGGAAGCTCTTGGTATGTATGTCCTCTGTGCCTGTAGGGTTTGGGCTCCTTTGCAGCAGATTGGGTATCAGAGGAGTTAACTGCCTGTGAGAGGCACCAAACTGAACAGCCTCTGTAGCTGGGCAGGCATAGTTGTAACAGTGGTCCTACCCCAAAGGGATGTTGCATCGTTCTTCTCGTGTCCCCCTGAGAAGCTGGGCAAGAGCTCGTGCAATGGGCTGAATGGGGGCCCCCTGTCCCTAGTGGGAAACAAAACTGGGCAGGTTGGACAGGAAGGAGCATGCAGGAGGGTATCTCCAAGGCATTGAGATCTTGGCTGGGAGAGGTAGCTTGCCCTTCATGCCTTAACCCTGCATGCGAAGACTGGACCTCCTGACCCCCCACATGATAGTGCAGGAAACATAAAATCATTAAGGTTGGAAGAGATCTGTAAGATCATCTAGTCCAACTGTCCACCTACCACCAATATAGCCTACTAAACCATGTTCCTAAGTAATACATCTGCCCTTTCCTTATATACCTGCTGGAACAGTGACACCTCTCTGAGCAGTCTGTTCCAATGCATCCCCGCTCATTGCTAAGAAATTTTCCATAATATCCAACCTCCAACCTGAACCTCCTGTGGTGCAACTTGAAGCAACTGCCTATAATTGTCTGTTGCTTTTATCTGGAGAAGAGGCCAACCCCCGCTTTGCCACAGCCTTCTTTCAGATAGTTGTAGAAAGCAATAAGGTCTCCTCTGAGCTCCTCTTCTCCAGACTGAACAACCTCAGTTCCCTCAGCCGCTCCCTGTCACACTTGTGCTCCAGACTCCTCACAGCGTCACTTTGTTCTCTAGCCATGCTCCAGAGCATCAGTGTATTTCTAGTAGTGAAAGGCATAAAACTGAGCACAGCACTTGAGCTGTGGCCTCACCAGAGCTGAATACAGTGGCAGATGGTTACCTCCCTGTTCCTGCTGACTGTGCTATTTCTGATACAAGCCAAGATGCCATTGGTCTTGACCAGCTGAACACACTGCTGGCTCATATTCAGCTGGGCATTAACCAACACCTCCAGATCCTTTTCCTCCATGCAGTTTTCCAGCCACTCTGGCCCAGGCATCTAGTGTTGCGTGGTGCTGTTGTGAGTGTACTTTGTGAAAAGCTGATATTTTTGTCTTTCTAGATGAGTTTGATGAACTGGAGCACTTGGTGACATCACGGACAGAGTCAGTGAACATTGACCACCCAAACCATATTGTAACAGTCACAACCATCAGTGACCTGGACCTCTCAGGTGCACGCCAGCTAGGACTGACCACCTCTGAGGTACCACCTCTTGCTGACTGTCTGATTGCATCAACTATAAATGTTCTGGAGGCTGGTTAGATTGGTACTCCATGGATGTGCCAAAAGGCTTGCAGCTGGCTAGGAGCGAAGATGAAGGGGGAAACTGAATTTTCACGTTTCTCCACAACTTACATTGTGCCACTGCAGAGGAAGAAATGTCATCCTCGAGCAGCTTTCTTCTAAGCTGCCTTGGGATTGTTTGCTCTTTAACCTCATGTTAGTAGAAGGTGCCACAGATCTGGACAGGGAGAACACAATATTGTAAAACCAGGTATAACGCTAGTAATGAGAATTTGGGCTTCACTGCATGGACTGTCCTCCGTGATTTTCTGTGACCTGTCTATGGACAGTTACTGCTAGGCTGAGGAGGGATTCTGCTCTCCATGAGCCTATGCTTGGACCACAAATAAATCTTATGGTTGTGGTTGCTTCTGTTCTCAAAACGGATTTTAACTGAGTTCTCATGTTTGTTTCATAAAGGCTCTATGGTACTGACTGGTGCAATCCTTCTGATCTTTATGAGTTGTGAGTGGATTTGAACACCTTGGGAAAGTGCTGTATTGATTAGATAACCTTTTACACTTTTAAGGACATCTTCTAATCTGAAAATCAGGTTATGGAGACTTTAATAGTAATTTAAGGAAAAAGCTGAAACTTCCAATTCACAGATGTGGCCAGTAAGATTGTGTTGAAGTTGATTGATTAATGTAGGACTTCCTGCTGCTTTTCCCTTTCTGGAGGGCTGCAATAGCAAAACCTTGAGACCTGAACAAGGCTTGTGTAAAATTTGAAGTGTTGATCTGTTACTGTGTTTTGCAAATAGGAACGAAGCCAAGAAGGTAGCAAAAACACCAGAATTGTGAGACTGCTTGTTTTAATGTGTTCATAAAGATGTGTTTGTTTCTTCTTTTAAGGGAAAAAGTGAAGAAGAAGAGAAGGGGGAAGAGGTGGTGAACAAGCCTGCAAGAACAATGCCCAAGAAGTCCAGAAACCCTTTCCTATCTGAAAAGTACGTATAAATTCATTCAGCTGCTTGCTGCTGGGCAGTGTGAGCTCATCGGGAAGATGTTTTGTTTCCAGATCAGTGATGTGATTGCTGGGAGAGCATGCTGTGCTGCTTGGGTGCTGGTGGACAGGAGCCAGCAGGGGGCACTGGCAGTCTGGAAGCCTGCCTGGGTCGGTCTGTTTCTATCACATTGATCTCTGGTAACAGCGGTGTGAGGTGGATGTGGTGTAGGTCAGGCTTTGCCCTGAACTGTTTGTCTAGTCCTTCTCCTGTCCTGTCAGGATGGTGCCCAGCACGGTGGAGTTCCCCTGGGACATTCAGTTACTCGTGTCCATTCCTGTTGGGCCACACAGGGCTGTCCTGCTGCAGTTCTAGTATCACCTTTCTGCAGTGCACTTTGGTGCCCAAACATTTCTCTCTTCTTATCCTCCCCAGGATCTCTTCTCTTACTGCCACGCTGCACATGCACAGCCGGAAAAAGAAGAAGGGAAAGCGACCCCAGCGTGGGCAAGGTTCACTTAAGAAAATCCAGAAACCCAGCATGAGGCGAACCACTAAGACTCAGCGACGGAGACTGACTGGCAAAATGGGCCGCGACCAAGATTAATGAGAGCCAGGTGCTCAGAGCTGCAGCTGGGACAGTTTTCAGCAGCTGGGCTGCTGTCCTTTGCGACCCCTTTGTAACAATCAAGGACCTTGTTTACTTGGCTCTGTGAGCCCAGTTCAGCCTTATTCACCTGCTGTGTGTTGGCCATAGGCACTAGACACTGCATTTATTTTGCAGTGGTCTCCAATTAATCACCTAGGTGCCACAGAATCTCTGAAATCTTCTGTTGGAGGTCAGATTCTCTGTATGGCATAACCCTCAACTGGCTTTATCAAAGGAGAAAATCTAAAGCTGAATGCAACAGACACACTGTCAGGGGTGTGAGACTGGGAAGAGCTCCGCTTCCGCTTGTGAACCAATGCATTGCTATTTCTGCAGTGCAGTAAATTCTTTTTCCAGGATGATATGGTGTCATCTTGTCTCATGTTTCTTCATCTGTGCCACAGCCGAATGCAGGGATGCTTTTTTTTTCCCTCCTTCCTTCCTTCCAGTTTGGTGGCCCTGCCTGTGGCAGGGGGTTGAAGATTCATGACCCTTGAGGTCCCTTCCAACCCGGGCCATTCTGTGATTCTGTGATTTTTGGTATCTATACCAGATGAAATTTAGTAAGTTTATTCTGTGTAGTCATTTTGCTAAGAGAAATACATGTGGCTTAACTGAAGCATAACAGCTGGATGTTAATACCAGTACCAGCTGGAAACAGGGTTAATGATTCCTATTGCTGAAAAAAAATCTTTACAATCTACTGGTGCTCAGGAAAGGGAATAGCTAGGAGCTGTTTTTGTGGTAATACAGAACCCGCCAGAGCAGGAATGGCTCATTCCATTGTCTGCTGAATGTGCCGATGTTCATTCTGATAGCTCAGAGGAGTATGAAATCCCTTACTACCCTTGCTGCATGTGTGTGGCCTTCTCTGGGATGGGAGTGGCAGAGGCTGTGCATTACTTCAGGGTGGCTGTCTTCTGCTTGGAAACCTTGGTGTGTGTGTTTTAGCGTGGATATCTTCAAGAGCAGAGAAAAAGAAGTCGCCATGCATCTGCGTGGCTGGGGTAAGGAATGCTTCTGGTAAAACAAAGTCAATCTTCAGAGGAGAGAAAAGAGCCTGAGCAGCACACTGACTTCTGTCATGGAGTGTCTGTAGGATGCAGTGGCCATCCTGCCTCTGCCAGGTTCTGACCAGCACCTGGATGGGGCATCTTCCCTTATTATGTGTGTGCTGGTATGGCACACAGAAATGACAAAGGGGAAAAAGGCCTTTGTGGCCAAAACCCACACCAGAGAATTGGAAACGTGGCAGTGGGTGAGTAAGCAAATTGCCTGTGCTGGAAATGGGAGGGGAAAAAAGTAACTGAACTAATGCTGGAGGCCTTGTGGAGGCAGCAGCTTATTAGCCTGTTCCTGTCTCACCTTCACTTTTTAGGTGTTTCAGAGATGCAGAAACACAACTTGTGGGCAAGGCTGACAGTCTGGTGGCATGCTTGGATCCTAGCTGTCAGGGTTGTACAGTACAGCAGTTTTTCCCCTTTCCTTGGTGCCTCAAGGTGACCAGAGGCACAATGAGACTTGCACTTTGCCTCTCAAGGAGTTTGCCCTGAAGCTGGAATGGCCGCTGTTTGCAGTCCATGTGTTTGTCCTGCTGAAACGTGGAGTGTGAACTTTGGGTTGGGTTTGTGGAAGCCTGTAATGACAGTGGGACGGTGTTGAAATACCTCATTATAAGCCTGATGGGATGGTAAGAGTGGCCTCAGCAACACCGAGGTATTTGTTGTTTTGCTGCCAGGTGATTTAAAAGAATTACTGGCCTTAATAACTTCTGAGTCTTTCTCAAGCCACAGCTGAAATCCTGAAAAGCCTTCCATGCTCAGGGGGAAGAAAAAAAAAAAAAAGTGGAAAAGCAGAACCATTAAATCCTATACAGAGTTAACCACAAGTATTGTTTGCTGTGCTATTGATTTCTCCATCTGATTGATTCAAGCTTGATTTTGTAATGTGAATTACTGACTCATCCCTTGCCCGCTTTGTTATGCACAGGGCTGGAATTGGGCTACTCCAGGATATGCTGGGTGAAGGATAGCAGCTCATACACATGAGTTCGTGTGTGAAGCAGTTGCCAGGCACATCCAGCATGTGGTTGAAAGTCTTTCTGTGCGAGAGTCATTGTATCGTTTGCTGCTTACCCTCATTTTCAAGACAGTTTTCAGTGTTATTGTTGCTTTTTCCCTCTGGCTGCTCACAAATGAGTTCCAGCTGTTGATGAGGAAGCTGCTTCTGTATATGTCCTACTTGCAAAAATCCCCGTGCTAGTGTGGCCGCTGCACTGAAAAGTCATCACCATGACCACAGTGTGCCCCACGGTCACCCAATTGTGGCCAATGCCCACACTCAGCCACAGCCATGTCCCCAGAGATAGGGGACCTGGGTGGTGGTGGTGCTACTGTTCAAGAGCTCGCACGAAAAGGATGTGAAGCTCCAATATGATGTGTCCGTGTGTGATGGCTTTTGCTGGCTAGACTGTGATTCTGCACACATGCATGCACAAAAATGTGATTGGGATTACAGAGGATCAAAACGAGACGGGGAGGTCAAATAGTCACGAAGAAACTGGAGCTCGGTGCAAAGATGAAGCTGCAGTGTGTGTGAGGTGTGCCGCGTTGCTCCTGTGGAGCGTAAGGAGCTCAAGGCTGCATGCAGCGCAGTCTTATTGCTGCTGCAACAAAGGAACCGAGGATAAACCTCACGGGGTGCGGGATGAGAGCTTTTGAGAGCCAAGGGAGCTGGTTAGCACTAGGAGTCCTAGTGCTTGCAGATCCATCCTGCCGCTGTTCACCATCTCGTGGGGCAGGAGCCCCAGGCCTGCTGTCTGGCAGGGGATGGGGACGAGAGGAAAAAGCGACAGCCCCCCCCCACTGCTTTCTCGGCCCGCTCGGGTCGATCGCCCAACCGCTGCCAACGACACGTGGGTGCCCGCACACGTGCCCGCCGGCGCGCCGGCACGCAGCCACTCAGAGGGCGATATTCAAATCTGTGCCCGGTCGAGGCCAATGAGAGGACAGTGGGCGGGGCTTGGCTGCCCGCAATTCCCACGGGGAGCTCCATTCAAAGGGGAGCTCGGCGGGGAGAGCGGTGCTGGGAGCCGTGGGGAAGTGGAGGTACTGGGGGTTCTGGGGTGCACAGGGAAGGGTACCTACGGCTGCAAGAGTGCTAGAGGCCAAGGGAAGCTCGGTGGGCCCCAAAAGCCCTGCGGGATGTGGGGAGCAACGGTTTGCCCATCAGGCAGTGGGATGCTCTGGGTTCCCACCACGTGTGGCAAGCAGTGGACACGGCTGGATGTTGGGCTCTTCCTCTCTGCATTGCTTGCAAGTGAGTGCTTGGGTTCAGTGGGTGAATCAAGAAATCGTGCCTTCCCCAGTCTGCCTGCATCAGAACCTGTTGAAGGATGCAGAGCAGTGTCCCTTCCTAAAAAAAAGAAGGCTCCTGCTGCTACATACCCTTTTATTGTGTGGGTCACACTGATGGCCTTGCATCTGGATGCCCTTTGATTCTAGCATGGCCAGCCTAGTGCAGCAAGCTTCAGTCTGAGAATAACATTTGTGCTTCCATAGGAGCCTGAAGATGTGGAGCTGAAAGCTCAGCTTTCTGCTGCTGTTCCTTTCTCCTAGCTGCTCCCTGTAGCCCAGCAGCCAGAGCCCCTGCATCCCTATGGAGGATGCCAGGTTCAGTGAATGATGTGCCCTGTGCCAACTTTGAAGCCAACATATTTGCAAGGAACCTGTGCCAACACTGCTTCCGTGCCTCAAGGGTTCACCAGCATGCTGCCCAGGTGAGCTCCTCCATCCCACCTGCAGGCCATGAATGCCGCATCAAGAGCTGCTTTGTTCAGCCCTGGGACTTTGTAGAGATGGAAATCCCTAGCACAAAGGCTCGTGGTGTCCATCATTTAACTGCTTGGAGCAGAGCTGGAGCCACACTGGCAGGGAGGCTCTGGATGCAGTTAGGAGAAGCTCCGTAGATCCTGGGAAGGGAAGGAGGAATGAAGCAATACAGATACGTGCAAGTAAATAGCAACGGTGAGGGAAGGGGGAATGGCAAGTTAGAAAGCCACCCTGGATTTCAACTCTGTTTGAGGCCTGTTGGTCCCTTCCAATTCAAACCATTCTATGATTCTTACCTAAAATGTGATCCTGGCAGATCTCCCTGGGGCTGCAGTGAGCTGTTCCTGGAAGGAAAGGTGGAAGGGGATACATCTCATGTGATGCAGGGCTGGGTCTGACCCCATCCTCCAGCATGAGCCAGGCGGCTGCAGAGCGCTGCATCCCTCCAGGCGTCAGCCGGTTTCATGTTCACAGAGGGTTTCGTGTCATTCGCTGTCCTCTTGGAGCACCAGGCCGGGGATCATGAAATAGTAATGAGCCTCCCGCCCTCCTCCTTGCCCTCTCCCCCTGGCCCCCGGGCCCTCTAAGATTACTGCAGCCCTTTGCGATCTGCTTAGAGCCATCTCTGAGCGTATCCAGATGCCAGAGGGAGGGCAGGCAAGCCCCCTACCACTGCTCCTAAACCCTGCAGGTAACGGGCCTGGGGGAGATGCTGGAGGGTGGCTGCAAGCAGAGATTCCCCCAGTCCTCATCCTCATGTGCTTTCCTATCCGGCACGGCGATGGCACGGCTGCATCCCCCCCTTCCTCGCAGGAGCATGACGCAGAGGTGGCGGGGCACGGCACCAACGCAGACCCAGGTGGGCCCTGGGACTCCGTCCGCATCGTAGCACCGCAGTGCGAGGTGTACATCTGCGTGGGTCGGGCAGACGGCGCGGAGCGGTGAGTGGCAGAGGCTGACGGAGGGGGAAGATGGGGAAAATGGGGTGCGATATCGCCGATGCACTGAGGGATGTGTTTAGTAGGCATGGTGGTGATTGTTCGATGGTGGGACTGGGTGACCTTAGTGGTCTTTTCCAACCTTGATGATTCTATACTCTGCCAGGGAAAAAGGGCTGAGCGCTTTCTCTGCCTGTGTTTCTCGTGACTGCTCCCTGTTCCCAGGCTCTGCAGCCATGCTGACAGTTGCCTGTCCTCTCCTTGCTCCACAGCTGGCACCAGAGCAGGGCACAGCCCCCACTCGGCCCCAGCACTGTGGGCCAGCATGAAGAAACCAGCACCAAGCCCCACAGCCACACTGAAGACAGGGTGAGATGGGCACTTCTCTTGGTTTGGGTGGTTCCAGCCTCCTCATCCCCTCAGGGCCACTTCTGCTGGGCATATTCAGAAGCTTCCAAAATGCTGGGGGGGTCAGCTGGGACTCTTCACTTCTCACACATGCTCTTTGCCCCATTCCAGCTCAGTAACTTGTAGCCCTATTGCAAAGTCCTGCCTTATTTGTTTGTCAGGGCTGGGAGATGACCAGACTATTGGACACCACTTTGGGATCAGGCAAGCAGGACACAATGAGCTACAGAGGCCACAAGGATAACACACAGCTGCAGGTGGACAGAGCTAGGTGGGGTCAGCCCTTTCCTTCTGGATCCTGGGTGAGGACAGAGGCTCCGAGCGTTAGGAAAGAAGTCTTTGTGCCAAAAGCAGGTACATGTGGTTTGCTCTCCTGTGGGATTCTCTTGGTGTGCTCACCATAAAACATGGTGCTGCTGCCTCCCTACATGCTTTGCTGTGCTCCCACACCACCATGCAGTCTGGGTTTGCCCTCTGACCCCCTGTTCCTAACCCTGAAGCCCTGCTTTGCTGTGGGCAGAGAAGCATTACACACCACTCATTCAACAGTCTTCTTTCCATTCCAGAGCGTGCTCCTGCCAGCCAGAAGCCCAAGGAGGGCTGGGCAAAGCATCGCATAGAGAGTGGCTATTTCTCCTTGGAACCTCGAAAACCTGACCCTTCCTGGGCTTCCTCTGTACCTCGTCCTGGCCGCAGCTCCTCTCCTGGTCCAGGCAGCAGCAGGCATTTGGCATCCTCCTCCAGGGCTGGGGAGCCCCGTGGGCATCCCAGTGCTGGGGGCACAGAGGGGAAGCGTGTGCTGGAGAGGCAGGAGTACACGGTGCTGGCAGACCTGCCCAAACCCAAGCGCCTTGGCCGTGGGGATGCTGCTGACCGCCGTGGCTCCCGCACGCTCAGCCCTGGCCGAGTGGAGGTGGAGAGGATATTTGGTTGTGAGCGCAGGTGAGGAGCAATAGAGAGCTCTGCAGTGGATTGTTCCCACAGGTCACTTCATAGCTTGGAGAGAGCAGGGCTGCGAGTTACAGCTCAGATTTGAAGCTCCCAGCCACGTCCTGGGAGCTGCAGGACATGCTGTAGAGTTGGGAAATGGGGAAAGGAGAAAGAAGCTCCCAAATCCTAGTAGGATTAGGGATGGCAAGAGGTCCCCAGGTGAGTCCTCAGCTGGAGAAGCAGAAGTGGCTCCAAAATTGGCAGCCCAATGGTGGCATGAGGCATACAAAGGTGTAACAGGGACCAGGCAGTGGATGAGACAGGAAGGGGCAAAGTGCAGAGGACCCAAAGAAATGGCATGAAGAAGATGTGGATGAGGAAGCTGGGATGATTACAGCAATAGGGTGGAGACCTCAACATCTGGGGCAGGCAGAGATGTAGGCCTGGAGCGGGGCTCAGTCAGCAGCCAGACAGGCTGTGTGTGCCTGCAGGAAATCTGAGACGTTGGAGGCTTTCCAGGCACTGGAGGAGGGCCGCGTGGAGCGGCTGGATGGCAAGACCCCAGTGCCACCCAGCAAAGGCAGAGTCATTCGGAGGCAGTCCAGCCCCAGCCTGCCCAGGGAGGTGAGTCCTGGCTGTTTTCTCCTGCCACATTTTCCCCTATTCCTGCGTGCAAGAGGCTTCTCCTGGATAGAAGCTGGCTCTATGCATAGGGGTGCAGGTTCTGCAACGCCTTTCATAACCCAACCAACTTGTCTCCCAGCTCTCATGCCACCTTACTTCCCTCCTTGCTATCACTTGTGTTCCCTTTGCTCTCTGTACTGTGTGTCCCCAGGGTCAGCGGCTCTCCTGGCACCCTGAGCCGCGCAGCAGAGATTCCAAGGAGTCCCGGCGCTCCCCCAGCCCAGCTCGACAAACAGAGAGGGCCGGGGTCCCCCTGCGCCCCATGTGCCCTTCTCCACGGGCGGAGAGGGACTGGAGGAAGCCCCGGGAGCCCACAAGTCCTACTCAGCGGCTGGAGAGGGGAGGCAACAGCCCACGATCCCCCAGCCCAGCTTCTAGGTTGCAACAGAGGGCAGGAGGAGCTCAGAGCCCTCCCCAGCACACAGAGAAGGACTGGAGGAACAGAGCAGAGAGGAGCCAAGTTGCCTGGCAGGCTGGAAGTATGGGGAAAGCCAGTGAGAGAAAAAGCTGGGGGAACACCCTGCACCCCCCAAGCCTTGGGAAGAGCATGGATGGAAACAAGCAGGGAGGAGCCTGGCCACCACGCTCCATGAGTCCTACAGGACGGACAGATGGCACATGGAAAAGCCAAAAGGAGACCTCTCAGCCTGGCCTTGCACGGGGGGCAGAGAGACAACGGGGGGACCCATCCAGGAAACAGCTGGAATGCAGCTGGAAGAACATCCGGGATAAACTGCAGCCTCCCCATGCTGGGAAGGGCACAGACAATGAGTGGAAAGGCCGAGGGAAGCCCTTGCGTCCCATGAGCCCAACACGGCCACCAGAGCAGGATTGGAAAGGCCATGGGAAGCCCTTGCGTCCCATGAGCCCAACGCGGCCACCAGAGCAGGATTGGAAAGGCCATGGGAAGCCCTTGCGTCCCATGAGCCCAACACGGCCACCAGAGCAGGATTGGAAAGGCCATGGGAAGCCCTTGCGTCCCATGAGCCCAACGCGGCCACCAGAGCAGGATTGGAAAGGCCATGGGAAGCCCTTGCGTCCCATGAGCCCAACGCAGCCACCAGAGCAGGATTGGAAAGGCCATGGGAAGCCCTTGCGTCCCATGAGCCCAACGCGGCCACCAGAGCAGGATTGGAAAGGCCATGGGGATGCCTGCCAGGTTCAGAAGGCAGAGAAAGACTGGAGGGCGCATGAGAAGTCACCATGCCACATGGACTTGATGCAGCAGCTGGAAAGGGACTGGAGGAGCCCCGCTAGGTATGCGGATGCCTGGCCACGGCCGGATGACAGCTGGAGGAGGCCTGAGAGCCCAGTACAGAAACTGGAGGATGACTGGAAGGGGGTTGAGCACAGCCATGACTCAAACAACCCAGAGAAACCATTAGAAAGTGATTGGGAGAACAAGAAATTCCTCGTATATCACGTGAGTATAGAATCACTGCAGCTACTGCTCGCTACCCACGTCCCTCAGTAGGAACACCTGGAGCTCTGGAACACCTCCAGGGATGCTGACTGCACCACCTCATGTCCAACCTGAACCTCCCCTGGGGCAGCTTGAGGCCGTTTGCTTTCACCCCATCGCTGTTAGCTGGGGGAACAGGCCAACCTCCAGCTCACCACAACCTCCCTTCAGGTCACTGTAGTGAGCAGTAAGGTTTCCCCTGAGCTTCTCTTCTCCAAACTGAACAACCCCAGTTCCCTCAGCTGCTCCCCATCAGACCTGTGCTTGAGAGCCCTCACAGCTCCGGTGCTCTTCTCTGGACACACTCCAGGGCCTCCATGTCTTTCTAGTAGTGAAGGGAGTAGGTTGGGAGTGGTGAAAATGGAAATGGCAGGGACCTGTCTGCCAGGTGTGGAACCAGCACACCCCTTTTCCTGAGGTCTGAGAAGCAGCGCTTCTGCTCCAGCACTGGGAGACACAGGAGGAGATGGACACAGAGGCTCAGGCTGAGCTCCCCGTTTCTCTCCCCGCAGTCGCAGCTGGATGGGAGCTCCAGAGCACCGCAGAGCTCCTCGGGAAGCCGGCTTCCACACGGGAGCACCAGCGAGAAACGCACTAAGGTAGGGCCCGGGGCTCCCCGCCCGCCCCGTCGGCTCCATTGGCTGCGGGAAGGGGGCGGCCGGGCCGGAGGCCACCCGCTGCCATTGGGCCGGGCCGGGCCCTCCCAGGAAGTTTGGGGTGGGAAGGGGAGGAAAGAAAAGAAAAAAAGAGAAAAAGTTTGAAGGGGAAAAAAAAAAAAAAAGCCCTCGGAAAAGCTCGGGGCGGGCGGCGGAGCGAGCGGGCATGGTGGGGCTGCGGGAGCCGCCCGGCCGCTGAAGCCGCCCCGCCGCCCTGGCTGCCCGCAGCCGGCCCCGCCGCGCCCCCGCCATGACGGTGAGTCTGGAACGGGGCCCCGCGGCGCTCTGCTTCCTCCCCCTGGGCTGTTCCCGCTCCGGGGGGATCTCCCGCTGGGGTGTGGGCGGCACTGAGGCGGTGCGGGACCGGGGCTGCCTGTGCTCCCGGTCGGGGGTGGGGTGCGGTGGAGGTGACGGGCCGGCCCTCGGCCTTCCCCGTGTGGAGGGGCGGTGAGGGGTTCGGCGTTGTGCTTTGGCCTTGGGGGCCTTTCCCAGCCGAGCCTGGTCTCTTTGGGGGAAGAAGTGGGCTTTTGGGGCCGCCGGGAACCCCTTTGTGATGGAGGGAAGGCGGCCCGGGGTGAGGTCACCCTGCAGCAGGTGACCTCCAGAGGTCCCTTCCACCGCCGCTGTCCCCAAGTGTTGCTCTGTGGCCAGAGAAGCCGTAGGAACCGCGGCCTGGAGCTCTAGCTCTGTTGCCTTCTATCCTCCGTTTCTTCCCCCTGCCCTCTCTGTACCACCCAGGAGTCATTCTTCCACTCCCACCCTATCTCCTTTCCTTCTTTGGTGTTTACATTCTTAAGATACTTGCAGGCTGTTATCGCAGCCCTTGTGTCCTCGTGGCAGCCCGAACAGGCAGCCAGCTCCCTGCACCAGCCATCACCCCTGCTCAGTGCTGGATCCCCCCGGTGCCTCCTCTTGCATCCTCACATCTTCGTTGTTTGGAGCCAGCCCCAGATATCCGGATAGCTCTGCTTTCCTGCCTGCTTCCTCCTCCTGCCCTGGCCTTTTCCTCTGACGGGGAATTCAGCTCAAACTTCGCTCTGTTCTCTGCCCTTATCCCAAGTGCTTTTCTCCAGAGTACAAAGCTGAAATTAGTGGTAGACAGGGAAGAGAAAAAAGCAGCTTTAAGCACTTTGCGGACTGGTGTCTTGTCCACCAGAAATACTGTGGACAGTGGCAGAGCTGTGCCTACGAGGATGAAGACAGGGAAAAAGAGGCTGGTTGTGTCTTGCACCATATGTGTGCTTTGGGACTTTACTGGCCTCGGTGCTGTGCCCATGGCAGTAACAGGGCAGTGTGTCTGGCCCTCCTGCCCCACGCACATGTGTGCTGGGAGAGAAGGTCACGCCAAACATTTCACCTCCTTTCCTTCCCTCCTGCCGCTCCCAGCCTGGAGTCAGTGCTGAAGTCACTGGATTGGAAAGGATAACGGCACAAAGGGTGGAGCTGTCGCCACAGGGAAGAAATTAATTTTCAAAGAACTTTTGCAGGGCGGTGGGGATGTCCGGGTCTAGGGGAGTGGACGAGGGGATGCACGTGGTCCCCAGCCATTCACCGCCTCTGCTCTTCGTGCCTACTTTACAAAGCTGAGTGGTGGGCTGAGTTATTTGCCAGCTCGGGAGGAGCTGGAGCAGCAGAGCTGGGAGGAGGAGCAGCTCCAGCCTGCTTGGCTGAGGGCGAAGTTGGGGAGAGCATTTGCCCTGAGTCAGCTTTCCAGCACGGCACTTCTGGAAGGAGCTGAACTGGTTGGGATGCCGGACAAGTGGCGTGAGGTTAGGGGGAGGTGAATGGGGGGGGGGGGAGCTTTTTAGAAGGGAGTGAGCTGGAGGAAACTCTGCTTGTTCTCCATAACCATGGCCCAGGGCTGGGCAGAGGGTGGGCTCTAGAAGGAGCAAAGTCCCCAGCATCTCAGACAGGATTTGTTCTCCAGCTCTGGTTGTAATTCCAATTTGATCTCCAGCCTCAGGCAAAGTGTTGACACGCTGTGTGTTTTCACAGCTGTTAAATTGCCTCCTGCGCCTTTGTGGTGAGGGCTGGTTCATAGTGAGCTGCTATAAGGCTGTAATTGTAATATGTGAGCAGTGGGGAAGGTGCTGTGGGAGGTACCCCTGGGGCATGGATGCCCAGGTTGGAACGAAATGTGCCTGCTTCCCTGTGTCCTTCTCCAAAGCCTGGTCTGGCTTATGACAGAGCCGTGTTCCCTTCCACACAGTTTCCTCACCCCTATCTCTCTCTCCTATCTCTGAATAAATATCTCCAAGGCACCTTGTAGAAACCTCCCTGCTGCATATTTTTCCTTTTTTTTTTTTTTCTTTACTCTTTCCTTATCTCCTGTTTCCTCTTACAGGAATGATTGCTAAATGCAGTCCTCCTCCACCACTGGGTCCTAAACTGAACCCCCACGTGTTTCCTCAAAGCAGTGTGGGGCTCTTCTTGTTTCTTATTCCCCCTATGGCAACTCTGCTTCCCGCTCCCCCAGCATGCAGAAACCTTTTGTGGGTTCCGGCACGCACTAAACCTCTGCTTTGTCCTTTCCTCTCCAGCCAGATCTCCTCAATTTCAAGAAGGGATGGATGTCCATCCTGGACAAGCCAGGAGAGGTAAGCCCTACCTGGAGCCTACTTCTTGCCCTAGCCCTATTGGTCAAGTTCCTTGTGTGAGCAGTGGTTTTTCCCTTCCCCTCTCGTTGTGCTTGCTCCTGCTGCAGGTAACTCATGCTTGAGAGACCCAGCATTGTATTGGGTGCATTCTGAGCTGAGAATTATTACAGGCACTTGGAAGGGACCTAGAAAAGGGGGGCAGAGCCTAGAAACGGAGAGGTCATAGGGTAGCACATCCCTCCTTGTTCCTGCACTTCCCTCAGTAACTGTCTATCCATTTCCCTCCTGTCTTTTCCCCTCCCTCCCCCTAACCCATCTGCTGGCAGTGGAAGAAACACTGGTTCGTGCTGACCGACTCGAGCCTGAGATATTACCGGGACTCGAACGCCGAGGAGGTAAGCATGGGTGGCGTCTCCTCACCCCTCTGTTCTTTCCTGCCCTTGTCCTCATAGTGACAGGGAGAGTAACATTATCACTAGCACAGGCACCTCATATCTACACAAGGGAATGTGTCCCATTCCAGTGAAGCTCTAACATCTCCTTGAGACTTTGTTCTGACCCATCATTCTCCATCTGAAGAGCCCCTCGGGGCTGTCAAGGTTTGAAGTGAAGAGAAAGGCTGACATGCGGGCAGCTGGGCTGCCCTGGTGCTCTGCCACTCTTCTTCTTCCCATGCTTTGGTTAGGGTGCAGGCAGGTGGCAGGGTCTTTTTAAGAGATGGGCTTTGCTTACACCCTAGAGGGTGGCTGTGCTTTCAGGCTGATGACCTTGATGGCGAAATCGATCTCCGCTCCTGCACAGATGTGACAGAATTTGCGGTGCAGCGCAACTATGGCTTCCAGATACACGTAAGTGCCTGGAGTGCAGCACTGAGGAATGCCTGGTGGGATGGCTGCTCCTTCCCCATCTGCATCCCCGACACAGAAGTTTGGGCAGTGTAAACTTCATGGTGTCAGGATGGCAGGGTAGTTGGTGGTGTGTCCAGCACTCAAAGGGTTAGAGTGCAGCCAGCTGCCCCTTTGCTGAGTGGTGACAGAGCTCATGTCCTGTCTCTGCTGCAGACGAAGGATGCCATCTTCACACTGTCAGCCATGACCTCAGGCATCCGGCGCAACTGGATTGAGGCTCTGAAGAAGAACGTGCGCCCTGTTAGTGCTCCAGATGTCACCAAGTAAGAGCTGCCTGCTGGTGGGTCTCCTGCTTGTTCCTTTCTTCAGGAGGACACCTGAAAGGTCCTTGGGAGGGGTGGAGCAGGGCAGTGATGATGAGAGTGACAGGCATGCAGAAGTGATGCTTTCTGGGGGCACAGCATCTTGGCAGGCTCCTGTCTACCAGGAAGATATTGTATTGAGCAGAATCGTAGCATCTGTTCAATTTGGAAAAGACCACTAAGGTCATATAGTCCAACTACTGACCTATCACCAGTAAACAGTTTCCCTCAGTACTGCATCTACCTTTTTCTGGAAAACCAGCAGTTCCTCGTACTGCCAACAGAAGCCTGCCCCAAAACCCATTTTTTTATCTCCATTTTGCTGCTGGAGCTTGGCTGAGACTCAGGGTGAATCCTCCCCACCTCCTGGGGAAAGCCTGTTTACCCATACATGCAGACAGAGCTGCCAAGTGATGTGATGCAACCACTCTTCTCTCACACAAGGTTTTTCACAAGGCTGAGTTGAGCAAAAGCTGAGCCTTGCAGCCTTGCGTTTAACCAGCAATGCAAGGGGGCTGTTTGTCTGTGCTTTTGCAGTGCCTGTCCTTCACATGTTATTGCTGTGGTTTCAGGCTATCTGACTGCAACAAGGAAAACACAATCCGTAACTGCATCCCACCAAAGAGCTCACTGCGAGTGGATGAGCAGCAGCAGCCAAGTTCTGAGGGAAGCACCAAAGGCAGCACTTGGAAAGCGGATGGGCCACGCCATGCCTTTGACTACGTAGAACTGTCCCCCTTGCAGCAGGATCCCCAAAATCAGGGGTCCCCACCGAGGACAAGAGGGAGTTTGAGGGTGTCAGAGCGAGTGTCCAAGCATGAGGATTTAGAGCGGGATTTGGCAGTGCGTTCAGAGGAGAGGCGCAAGTGGTTTGAGAGTCCTGACGGCAGGGTCTCTAACAGTGATGGCCCAGGGGGAAACTTGTCCCGCAAGGTGGAGGAGCCAGACTTGCCTGCTGCCCCACTTTCAGAGGAGCAGCGAGTTCGGCTGAACGAGGAGATAGAGAAGAAGTGGCTGGAGCTGGAGCGCTTGCCCTTGAAGGACTCACGGCGAGTGCCCTTGACAACACTGCTGAACCAGGGCAAGGGGAACCACGGAGATGCCAATGAGGCACTGAAAAAGGAGGTGAGAGCACTTTGGAAGATGGTTTTCTGGGGGTTGTGATCCATGCAGCTTTGTGCCTCCCTGGTGGCTCTGCGGAAGAGCAAGGCCACCAGTGTTGGTGGCATCGCTTGCGTGGATCTCTGTTTCCTGGCAGTGTGTTTGCTGTCTCCTGTCTTGAACTGTTCCCAAGTCAACAAACACATCACCTCCCAGCCCTGGGAAAGAGGGTGAGCATCTCTCTTCTGTCCCTGGCACAGGTCCAGTCGCTGCGGGCGCAGTTGGAGTCCTGCCGGGCCCGAAACGAGAGCCTTCGGGAAGCTGCCAAGTCCCAGGGAGATGGCCACGTGCCCCGGGGGTACATCTCTCAGGTGAGCAGGATGGGTGAGCCCCAGGCTGGGAAATGCCAGAGCCTGGACTCATTGCCAAGCAGGTATCGCTAATCATTGGGTTGCCATGGTGGCCGCAAATAGGCTCGGTTGTGATCAATGTTAATTACATAAAGGCTAGAGTGCGTATTAAAGAGGCTGGAGTTGGCAGGAGGCAGTGGTGCGCACATGCTGTCAGGAATTCAGGATCTGTCACAGTTGAGGGAAGGGAATTTGGGTTCCTGGTGAGCTGCTCTTGCAATGGACTGGCTGCACCCAGCCCAAATAAAAGCACAAATCACATGGAGCAGCTCACTGGTACTCTGCAATCTCAGTTTGCACTCACAGCTCACGGGTCTCCGTGTGGTCAAAAGAAAACAAAAAGGAGCAGGGAGAAACAGCGTCTTTTCTTCCTGAGGCTGAACTTCACCTTTCCCAAAAGGTCTCATTTTCTCTCAATTTGCCTTAGTACCATTTGAAAGAGGGGGAGAACAAGTTGGTGAATTCAATGGCTTCTCAAGAATAATGTTTTGGCCTGATCTGATGGCAGGCAAATCTTCCCCAAGGGCCTTGGGGCATGAGTCCAAGATGGGAATGTCTTGCTTTGCTGTAACACAACTTATCTACAGCACTAGGCATTGAAAAGCCACCAGAAAAAGTATGAGCTGTGCAAGAAGATCGCTAGCAGTCAGGCTATAGGGAGGGAGGTGTCTGTAACAGCGCCCAGCCAAGGGGAAGGTGTCACTTTTCTGAAGCAGAGGCTCAGTTTCCATCGATTCTGGGGATGCTGCTTTATTTAAAAGGCAAATAGTGGATGCGGTTCCAGCAGTACATCCTGGTAGAAGGGTCTTGGCATCTCCTGATGGCTGAGTTGTAATAGAAGAGGAATGTTTTTTCCTCTCCAGAGCACGCAAGGCTCACAAGATTTGTGAGCTGAATGCTTGTGTTTCATGATCAAAGTACCAGGAGAAAAAAACATCACAGGAAGGGGTCTCACTTGTCTTCAAATGGCCCTGGACTAGGGAGGGGTTTGCAAAGTCAAGCATCATCCCAACAAGGTGCCTGTCCTTCTGTCCACATGTCTTAGAGTCAAAGAATCACGGAGTATCCTGAGTTTCAAAGGGACCCACAAGGACCATTGAATCTAACTCCTGGCTCCACGTAGGACTACCCAAAATTCAAACCTTGAGAGCATCCTGAACTCTGTCAGTGTAGTGCCATGACCACAGCCCTGTCCCAGTGCCCAATGACCCTCTCAGTGAAGAACCTTTTCCTAACCTCAACCTGAACCTTGCCCTAATATCCCACCTGACTGTCCCAAGTCAGCTCTGTGTTGTAATGTGTCTGCCACTTTCACATCCCTCACCCTTCCCTCTACTGTCCTTTCCCCTGCGTGACAGGAGGCCTGTGAGCGCAGCCTGGCTGAGATGGAGTCGTCACACCAGCAGGTGATGGAGGAGCTGCAGAGGCACCACCAGCGAGAAATGGAGCGGCTGCGGCAGGAGAAGGAGCGGCTCCTTGCAGAGGAGGCTGCAGCAACGGCGGCAGGTGGGAGCAGAAAGCAAGTCATGTCCCCACTTCCTTCCACCTCTCCCAAATGTCTCTGACTTCTGCCAGAAACCTGCCACCTTCCTGTACCAAAAGTCTTGTAACTTGAGTCCCACTGCTGAGCCTGCTGTTTGGTCTTAGAGGAAGCTTGGCTTTTCTCCCGCCTGTGATGCGAAGTCTGGTCATGCTGGGATGCCATTTATTAATCTCCTTAGCAGCACTCGGTGCTTTGGGATAATCCTGGGAGGTGGGAGTTGGTCAGAGGGCAAAAGGTAAAGGAGGAGGAAGTGTAGAGTGCACATCTTTGAGCCTGAGGCACCAAGAGCTGGCTCAGTTGCATGGCTGGGTTTCTCCAGATGTGCCCAAGCTGGCATAGCCTGATCCCGTGTCTCCCATTGCATCTCTCTGCAGCCATTGAAGCACTGAAGAAGGCCCACCGGGAGGAGATGAACAAGGAGCTGGGCAGGACACGAAGCTTTCAGCAGTGTGGCTCTGTCACAGACGCCCTCCAGAAGCAGCACCAGTAAGAAGTCTCTCCTGCTTCCCTTGCTCAGTGCTTTGGGCAGAGCCTGTTGATGGCACAGGAGCCACAACCTTGTGCCTCTCTGACAGGTTGGATGTAGACTCACTGAAGCGGGAGCTGCAGGTGCTGTCAGAGCAGTACTCCCAGAAGTGCCTGGAAATTGGGCAGCTAACAGAGAAGGCAGAGGAGCGGGAACAGATGTTGCAGCGCTGCCAGCAAGAGGGGAAGCAGCTCCTTCGGAAGAACCAGGCAAGAGAAGGGTTTCCCTGCCCTTAAGGACCACAGAGCATCCTCATTCTGGGACTGCCCCTGTCTAAATGGGGTGTCTCTTTATTCATATTCTTCTCCTCTCAATATGTTACTGGGGCCAGGACTGCAAGAGAGCCTTGTGGCTGTGCCATATCTGCCTTTTTGCCTGCAGGAGCTGCAGATCCGCCTGTCGGATGAGATTGGGAAGCTGCGAAGCTTCATCACCTCGCGGTGCTCTGGGGACCGATCTCCGCAAAACAATGAGCGCAACTCCTGCGAGCTGGAGGTATGGGGTGCTTAGGATGTCCCCAGCAGTTTGGGCTCGGAGTAGAGGGGACTGGGAGCCACGCAAGGCTGCAGGGCTGTGCAGGAAGGAGGTGCGCAAGCTTCCCCTGCGTGTCTCTCCCGGGGCACCATGCATCACTTCCCGCTTCCTTCCTCCTCCACCACCGCACTTGCGCTAGGGAGGACGGCCTCTACCCAGGCTGTGTCTCTCTGCTTCCCCCTGCCTTGAGTCACCGCCTGCTCCTCTCCCCTGAGCCAGGTGCTGCTGCGTGTGAAGGAGAATGAGCTCCAGTACCTGAAGAAGGAGGTACAGTGCCTCCGGGAGGAGCTGCAGATGATGCAAAAGGTTGGTGCTTCCCTGGGTCTGCTGGCTGGGGCTGGGTATTGCATCTCTCTCTTACAGCAAAGCAGAGGGACTAGGAGGCTGCATAGTGGCTGCAGGTTTCAGACAGGGTCATTTGGATGCTCAGGTCAAACCCTTGTGTCATGTGTGCTCCTTGTCCCTGCTTTCTTGCTGAGCGACACTGCCTCATTGCAGTATTCCATTACTTGAAGTGTGGCTACAAGGAGGGTGGAGCTCTGTCTTCATGAGGAACCCCATGGAGAAGACGAGCAGCAGTGGGTGTAAGCCCTACCAAGAGAAGTTTCATCTTGATATATAGTTTGTTTTGTTTTAACGTTGAGAACAGTGATTCATTGGAACAACCTCCGCAAGGACATGGTGGTATCCCCACCACTGGAGGTTTCCAAGAGGCAGTTGGACAAAGTTCTCAATAAGCTCACTTAGGTCTCCTTATCCCACAAAATATTGAACCAGCTAATCTTTCAAGGTCCCTTCAGACCTGGGTTGTTGTATGGTTCTGTGAAATCGTTGCCCACTTTGGGCTGAGGTTCAGGCTTTGGGCTGTGTCCTCCCTCACCCACTGGCCTCACCTTGACACTTGAATACCAGCTTGAGAGTTGCTAACTCTTCTCCCTGTCTGGCAGGACAAGAGATTTGCCTCAGGGAAATACCAGGACGTCTATGCAGAGCTGAATCATATTAAGGTGCGCTCAGAGCGGGAGATTGAGCAGCTGAAGGAGCATCTGCGCCTGGCCATGGCAGCCCTGCAGGAGAAGGAAACACTGTGCAACAGCATCAGCAATTAACGGTGAGCACTGAGGGGCTGTTATGTTCCCTCCAGGCTTGGGGGACTGAGATCCACTTTACTTTTGGCAGAGGCAAGGCAGCTTCTTGCTGCTCCATTTGGTGGTCAGTGTGGCTATGGCTTGACCCAGCCATCTTCCTCCAAGCGCTTGCATAGGCAAGCATAGGGATGGAGCAGTGTGAAGCCATCATGCATGTTCTGATGTCCAGAGCAAACCTTCTACTTGCTTGAACACTGTGGCCATCAGGCTTGGGGTCACACTGCTCTGCCAACGCTTGCTGGTGGGCACTGACCAGTCTTGAGACGTGTGGGATCAGAGCAGGCATGCCAAGCATGTCAGAACCTCCTAGAATGGAGGCAGAAAGGACAGCATTTCTGTGCTGAGTGCGATCTTTCCAAACCTGTTTTGTTTTTTTTTCCTTCTCTTTCTAGGTCTACTTCATTTGTTTATCTGTTCTTGTTTTTTATTTGCTCCGTTCCTCACTTAAGGAGAGAGGGAGGTTGGATCTCATCCTTGGCGAGACATCTCTCTCCTCAGCCAGCTCCTCACTTCCCTCCCAAAGCTTTCGATGAAGCCTTTCCAAAATCTTTTTGCCTTTGTATCTGAGCACGTTATTTGGAATGGCTCCTTACATGCACCTTCTTCAGGATTTTATACGTGAAAATTGTATTTTATAGAAGAATTTTGTTTTCCCTTGAGAAAAAGAGGAAAAGGAGAGGGAAAGCTTCTACGTCACCAGCATTTTCTAACCAGAGAAAGAGAATATACTCCCCATTTCCTCAGCCCCCCCTGCTCCCAGCCACGTATCTGCCTTTGGCACTCCCGTTCCCTCTCTTCCACCTGTCTCTGGGGCCCCATGGGGATGTATGGGGACACATAACAACACCACTGCCCCGGCACCCAGTGGAGGAGACACGCAAGCCATAGGAGGAGGCCGCCTGCCGCAGCTGCACCCACCTGCAACTTTGAAAGAGGAGACCTTGGCACGAGGCTGCACGATGGAGCTCTCAGTGACTGTCCTTCAGCTCTGCCTTGGCACAGCCTCAGCTCCAGGAGCCTCCCCACTCACCCTCCCTCGGGCTGGGGAGAGCCCGACATGTTAGTGGCAGAGGAGCTGCTGTTCTGCCACACCCTTCAACTCTTAACTTAATAAAATCTTCCCCTTTTGCTGAGAAAAATATGTTTGCTGAGGGCAAGTCTTGCTACGGTGCTGAGAGCAATTTCTGCAGCTTCCTGCCTCACTGTGAAGCCAGCAGCTCTTTTGTGACCACCAGGAGCAAGGGGGGAGATCTCAGGGAAGATGAAAGGAACGGCAAACATTTTTCCCCCCTCCTGTTTTGGGGTAAAAAACATGCTTTGCTCTTTCTAAAGGGAGCTTAAAGGAAAGCACTCAGAAAAGGCTTCTGGCTCCTTTCCCTGGGCGAAGCCAGCACAAAATCCAGTAAATCCAGTTGCAGGCTTGCATCAAGCCTGAACCACCACCTTGAAGATGGGATGAGCCCTGGGCATGCCATCAGCCAGAGATGGAACAGCAAAGCTCCCAGGCTGGGGGTGGCAGCTGTGAAGTTGGGAAGTTGTGGGGACCATGATTGCAGGGGAAAAAGTGAAGTTTAGGGCATGGTGTTGTACACATGTTTTTTAGGGGAAAAAGAAAACACACTTTTGCATCACCAGTGGCTTAATTAAGGCTGTGGGGTTGCATCTATCCCCGGGGGTTGCAACCCCTGGGAGTAGCCAGCCAGTCCCTTCCTCAGGTGCTCCCTATATTTGTTTGGGTTTGGTGTTTTTTGTTTTTTCCTAACTGGGGGCTGCTGTTCCCGATAAAGGCTTTGCACCAGCGTGCTGGAACGTGTGGCTGCTGCCAATCAGCCCCTTCCCCAGTGCCGCATGTGACAGGGTGATACTGGCCCCACGGCTGCCCCATAGCGATATCGCCTGGCCCCAGGGCCATGGGTGTGAGAAGAGGCAGCCAAAATGTCTGCCTATTTTGAGTCTCTTCGGGAAGTAAAAGCGGGTTAAATGAAATTTTGCCGTGATGAATTTGCTGGCTTTCCGTGATGGGCTGCAGCACATCCACAGCGTGTGTGCTTTGACCATTTAAGATGAAGTCCTGAGGTGGACGTGCAGGAATGCTAAAGGTTTTGTTGGGATGATGTGTGGGGAGAAAGGAGGAGGAGGAGGATGAAGTCATTGAGATTAGTGGGAGATTGCTGTGCCAGGCTCCTTCCTCTGATGTTTGTTGCAGGGAGATGTTTCCCAATCTCCAAAGTTTGTTTAATGCCAGAAACACGCAGCATCAATGTCTGCAGCATTTCCATCACACCTCCAGCCCCAGAGCCCCTCTTGCATGTTAGGGACACACCAGTGCAAAGTGACAGGGATGTTCTGCACCACCAAGGGTGACACAAGGACATTGGTCAGGATTCACGCATGGGAGACCATGTTTTAACTTGGTAAAAATTAGAGACCGGGTCTCGATGAAGGGGTCCCCCAAGTACCGGGGAGAGGCTGCAGGAGGTGCCCAGGTGATGGGCTCAGATAAGACACTCAATTTTCAGCTGTCTCTAGCAAGGTGAAGCCTGGGTACTGCACTGCCCTGATAAACATTGCCACTATTTTTTGGAGGCTCTGCAGTGAGCTGGTGGGAAAGGTTTAGAGATGCTCTTTGCCCCCCCCTTCTGTTCTCCCTCTTTGGCGGGTGAGCCCGCGCGCTGCTGGCAGTTAAAAGCTTGGATGCAAGTAAAGCCAGATGGAATCTTATCTGCCTGCACCCGAGTGCCTACGTGCAGACAGCCAGCAACGGCACTGCATTTCCCGCGCAGCAAACTCAGGGCCTGTCACCCGGTCAAGGTGTCACACAGAGGCCATGGTTCCCTACAGCATCGCCTTCTCCTTTCCTCATGTCTCCGTGGTGGCGCAAAAGCATCTGGTGATACTGGTGTTGCAGAGGGGTGCTCAGCGCATATTGGATGTGCTGAGATATTGGAAACTGCCTTGTTTCACCCCCAGTGCCACATATCCATGGGGGGGCACGAATGTATTTTAAGACAGAAGGAGGAAAATGTGATGTAAATGCTTCAGGAAGACCATGGTCACAGCCATGTTTAATCTCCCGGGGACAGCTGGGTGCTTACTCAGCTGGGAGGTAGTGGCTGATGAGAGCTCATGTCCCAAAGCCTCTGGTGGGGAGCAAATGGGACAGAGCAGGAGTGGAGACAGACTTATTGGACCCTGGGGTACAGCTGCCAAACCAATTTTTGAGCCTTTTTGCAGGAAAAAAGTGCACCACCAACCCTCCCATAGATCACCACCCTGGTAGCCAGGAGCCACCACAAACCCCAGGGTGACACCATGGCTGCTCAGGGCAGACAGAAGGGAGACCCCCAGCGTCTCTCCAATGTCCTCCCCCCCTCATTATCCCCTACGTTCCTCCCCATATCCTCCTTGTCTCCATCCAGTGTTCCTAACACCCTTCTAAGTGTCATTGCCATGTCACCCTGCTCATTCCCTGTCCCCAACACAGGCTCCTCCTTGCCCTGCACGTTACCTCCTTGTCTCCTGATCCCCCTCCCAGCACCTATTCTTGTCCTATCCAGTGTCAGTCCAAAGTACCCCTTCTTTTCCCCATCACATCTCTCCCTGTCCCCTGTTGTCCAACTCATTGTCACCCTTGTCCCCACCATGTCCCTCCTTTTCCTCTGGTGTCCACCCCGTCCCCATCATGTCCCACCTTATCCCCCGGTGTCCAGCCTCAATGCCCATCCCATTCCCACGGCGTCTCACCCTATCCCCACCATATCCCTCTCCATCCCTTCATGTCCAACCCCAGCGTCCACCTCTTTCCCCATCACACCCCTTCTTGTCCCAGCCTTGTCCCTCCCTGCCTGCCCCAGTCGTGTCGCTGCGGGGCGGGGCAGAGGGGACACGGGGACAGCAGTCCTCCCCACGGTCCGTGCCGCACCCTTAAATGTGCGCTGCTGGCATGCGCGCCCACAGACGCGGCGGCAGCGGGAGCAGCCCCACATCCGTTGTTGCCAGCAGCTCCTTTCTGAGCTCCCTAACCCTACCGTGGGGTGAAGCGCCGGCCATGACGGAAAGCCTGGTCCTACCCCCAGCCCCAGCCAAACCCAAGCGGGCGAAGGCGTCGCGGCGCTCGGCGTCGCACCCCACCTACTCGGAGATGATCGCGGCGGCCATCCGTGCGGAAAAGAGCCGCGGCGGCTCCTCGCGGCAGTCCATCCAGAAGTACGTGAAGAGCCACTACAAGGTGGGCCAGAACGCCGACCTGCAGATCAAGCTCTCCATCCGGCGTCTCCTGGCTGCCGGCGTCCTCAAGCAGACCAAAGGGGTCGGAGCCTCCGGTTCCTTCCGCTTGGCCAAGAGCGACAAGGCCAAGAGATCCCCAAGGAAGAAGAAGAAGGCCGGCAGGAGGTCCACGTCTCCCAAGAAGGCGGTGAGGCCCAGGAAGGCCAGGTCACCGGCCAAGAAGCCCAAAGCCACCGTCAGGAAGGCCAGGAAGAAGTCGCGGAGCCCCAAGAAGGCCAGGAAGCCAAAGACTGTTAAGGCCAAGTCGCGGAAGACCTCCAAGACCAAGAAGGTGAAGCGGTCGAAACCCAGAGCCAAGTCTGGTGCCCGGAAATCGCCCAAGAAGAAGTGAGCAGCCTGGGGGCTTCGCCCAGGCTCTCCCCATTGGTTTCTGTAAATAGCTGTTGCCTTTATTTTTACCTCTTTCTGTTTGCAAATTTTATAAGTTGATCTATTCCTAACAGCTAAAACAAGGCAAAGAATGAAAGGGAAAAAAAAAAAAAAAGAAAAAAAAAAAAAAAGGAACTTCTTCCATATGGAAGAGTTCCCATTTATACAAGCTGCTTCTCTGAGTGTTTATTTCATCTTGCCGTGGGTCCGGAGGGCTGTGGTGGGCGGGTGGAGGACTTGTGGGGAGGTAGGAGGGCTGTGAGAGCCGGGAGGAGGAGAGGGGACTCCTCCTTGTCCCCTGGAGTGAGGCACAGCCCGCCAGCCCAGCGTGTGAGGGCTGGAGATAACAGTGCGGCCGGGAGGTGGTGCGGGCCTTTGGGGTGGGGCTGGACGCTGCTGCCACCAAGGGCTTGGCACAGCCCCAAGGCCACACAGGCACCGCAACGTCCCAACCCACAGGGCTGGCTGTGAGCCCACGGGATGGGACGGCCCTACTGCTCCGCTCCGAGCCCTTGGACATCACTCCTAGGTATGCTGTGCCTAAATCCCCAGGGCTCAAGGTCTTCACCTTCCTGGCTCTTCCTTCCATTCCATTGGTCTGATGTTCCTAAATGACTCAGGGTAGATGCTGCCCAAACCTCTGAGGATCCCAGTGCAGTAGCCTGTAGTAAAATCCTTGGCCTGGAGGAATGTAATCCCTTTAGGTTCTTGTTCCTAAGATCCTCGGACCAAAGGCTCTCAGACTGAAGAGCCCAAGGCCCTCTCAAGAGCCAGGTGCTTGGCCTTCTGGACATCAGGGTCCTAAAACATTCTGCCCATAGGATCTCTAGCCAGCTACAGTGGAGTGTAGAGGAGCCCAATCCAGTTGGGATCCTGGTGTCTAAACACACTGGGTCACAAATCCCTTTGACCAAAAGACACTGGGATTCCTCAAACTTGGATACGTCTGGCAGGTCCTAAACCTCTCAGACCAAAGTTTTCACAGTCACCTCAGGTAGCTACACACAAACCCATTGGGCTAAATCCTACAGGCTGTAGGATTTCATTGACCCTTGTGCCGAGCACCCACTTGGATGCAAGTCCTGGGATGAGGACCCCAATTCCCTTGGAAGGGCAACAATCTTCGGCTTCTTGAGCCTCAGTCCATTATGTCCCTTTGTTTCCAAAACCCCTTTGGCTCTGGCACATAACCCCCCAGGCTGCTTGTTCCTAAATCCCTTCGGTTCCTAAAGCATATGGAGTCTTCACCCAAATATGGACTTGATGGATTCCAATTCACCCTCGGGCCAGAGCCTCCCTCCATTTCACCCAAAGACCTCAACACCTCCCAAAGGAGGTTCCCCAGCCCTTTCAGCCACAGGCATCCAAAACTTCCTCCTCTCTAGGATCCAAACCCCAAGGCTAAGAAGAGACACCTCCCAAAGGATCCAGGTGCCCCCGCAGGCTTGAGCACAGAGCCGCTCAGCTGAGTCTTAGCGCCGCACGGCCAAGTCCTAGTGCAGCGCCGCAGGGTCCTAGGGCCCACCGCAGGAGCATTGCCCCTTTAAGGGAGGAGCTGCGCGGATGGGCGCGGCCGCAGCGCGCCTTCTCATTGGCAGGCGGGGCACCGCCCCTTGGCGCGGCGTGGCGCGAGGCAGCGATGTGGCGCAGGGCTGCGGTGCGTGCGGTGCGGGGTACCGGGAGTTCCCGGGCCGCTTCGGGAGCGGCGGCAGCGCAGCTCCGGCGGTGGCTGGAGGGAGAGCTGGAAGGGATCCGCGGTGCCGGTACCTGGAAGAGCGAGAGAGTCATCGCCTCCCGCCAGGGCCCGCATCTCCGGCTTGCGGGTGGCGGAGCCGGTGCGTGCGGGACGGAGGGGGAGTCCCATGGGGCGTATGCCTGGTTCGATCCCTGTGCCTCGGTGTGTGTGTCTGCCCGCAGGGATCCTCAACTTCTGCGCCAACAACTACCTGGGGCTCTCCAGCCACCCGCAGGTGATCCGTGCCGCCGTGCAGGCCCTGGAGGAGTTCGGTGCTGGGCTCAGCTCTGTTCGCTTCATCTGTGGCACGCAGGTACTGGGCACCCCTTGGCTTTAAAGCAGCTTGCCGTGCTTTTAAGGCCGTGTTTCTGAGCACAATTAACCTCTCCCACACACGCCTTTCCTGGATAATAGGTGGCTATTTTCTGCTGTCAGCAGCAGGCAAGTAGTAACTTGCTGAGCCCAAGCAGTGATGCTTGCTTTGGCTGCTTCTGTCCTCTCTTTAGAGCATACACAAGGACCTGGAGGAGAAAATCGCACGCTTCCACCAGCGGGAGGATGCCATTCTCTATGCCAGCTGCTTTGATGCCAACGCTGGCATCTTTGAGGTTCGGAGAGCTTCAGTTATGCTGCATGAGGAGGAGGGGAGTGTGTAGCTGATGAAATGGCCCTCAGTAAACCATGGGGGGAGATGGGAAGTGGAAAATTTTGCAGCGGCAGCTGTAGTCAAAGGCATCTTTGTCCTTTGCACTGGCAAAGGCTGTCAGGTTTTGGATGAAGGGACACCTTGGAGTTCACAGAATCATAGAATCATACAGTAGGTGGGTTCGAAGGGTCTTTAAAGGCTCTCCACTTCCAATCTCCTGCCACGTGCAGGACTGCCCACCAACCTAGGACCCCATCCAACCTGACTTTGAATGCCTCCATGGATGGGGCACCACTGCTTTGGGCAACTGTGCTAGTTTTTCTTTGCCCTCAAAGCTGATTTGATCTGTTTGGTACGGGCAGGCTCTGCTGACCCCGGAGGATGCGGTGCTGTCGGATGAGCTGAACCATGCCTCCATCATCGATGGGATCCGCCTCTGTAAGGCCAACAAGTACCGCTACAAGCATATGGACATGCAAGACTTGGAGGCCAAGCTGCAGGACGCACAGGTAACAGCGCTGTGCTCCAATCCATGGTGCATCTGGGCAGCCCTGAAAGATCCACTCAACCCTTTCCCATCCCATAGAATCATAGGATCATCAAGATTGGAAAAGACCTCTAAGATCACCTACTTCGAATATCAGTCGGTCCCCATCATGCCCACTGACCGTGTCCTTCAGTGCCACATAGGCAGTGTTCTGGAGCACCTCCAGGGACAGTGACTGCACCACCTCCCTGTGCAGCCTGTGCCACTGCAGCACCGCTCCTTCTGAGAAGAAATTTTTGCTAATATCCAGCCTGAACCTCTCCTGGTGCAACTTGAGGCTGTTACCTCTCATCCTATTGCTGTTACTTGGGAGAAAAGGCCAACCCCCCACTTTTCTACAACCTCCTTTCATTGTAGAGAATGAGAGAGGCTCATACAGAATCATAGAATGTCCTGGGTTGGAAGGGACCTCAAGGACCATGAATCTCCAACCCCCTGCCACATGCATGGCCACCAACCTCCCCATTTCATACTAGACCGGGCTGCCCATGGCCCCATCCAATCTGGCCTTGAACACCTCCAGGGCTGAGGCATCCACAACCTCTCTGGGCAGCCTGTTCCAGCACCTCACCACTCTCTCTGTAAAGAATTTCCCCCTGATATCCAAAATCTCCCCTCCCTCAACTTAAAGCCATTTCCCCTTGTCCTGCTGTTATCTACCCTTTCAAAGAGTTGATTCCCCTCCTGTTTGTAGGCTCCCTTTAGGTACTGAAAGGCTGCCATGAGGTCACCCCACAGCCTTCTTTTCTCCAGGCTGAAGAAGCCCAGCTCCCTCAGCCTGTATTCATAAGGAAGGTGCTCCAGCCCCCTGATCATCTTGGTGGCTCTCCTCTGGACCCTTTCCAACAACTCTCTATCTTTCTTGTACTGGGAGCTCCAGACCTGGACACAGTACTCCAGAAAGAACAGAGTAGAGTGGGACAATCACCTCCCTGTCCCTGCTGGCCACCCTCTCTGATGGAGTCCAGGATACCATTTGCTTTCTGATCAGTCTCCAAAGTTGTAGAGTTGTAGCTGCGCCCTTTTTGGTTTTCAGGCAATGTGGGAAAGCAGCCAGCTTCTGCAACTGATATCTTGTTTGCAGCTGTATCTTAGTTCATTGTACCCACCCTGTACATACAGCAGGTGGGGCTAGGGCTGTATCTCAGCCTCCTTCACCGGTTCTAAAATGATGTCCTTGTAGCATGTGGTTCTCTCCCACAGAAACACCGCCTACGCCTGGTGGCCACCGATGGTGCCTTCTCCATGGATGGTGACATCGCCCCCCTGCGGGAGATCTGCCAGCTGGCCCAGAAGTATGATGCCTTAGTCTTCATCGACGAGTGCCATGCCACGGGCTTCCTGGGTCCCAACGGCCGGTAAGGGGCTGCTTCACCCTTCACTGCTATTAGAGAACTCCCTTGGGTCTTGGGGGTTTTCTGTCATCACCTGGCACAGTTGTGAGTGTGCAATGTCTAGAGGGATTGAGAAGGGCTATTGAGTGCTTCACACCTTGTGTTGTTGATGCTGTTGTCAAGAGAGCCAGTAGGGAGACAGAATGCCTGACCTGTCTTTTTGGGGTAGAGACTGCAAAGCAGGAGAGCATAGTGGACACATCCTGCTGGTTCTACCAGTATAGACCTTAATGTGGACACTGTGGAGCTGTGTGCATGTAGGATTGTGTATTGGTGACATGCAGAGCCAACCTCAAATAATGTTGGCTGCACTGTGTAGCTGTTTCTCCTGGTATATTCAAGATATGGCACATCAGAGGCAAGTCCTACATTCAAGAATCACTAGAGAGAGTGCACCATTGAGACTGTTCATAGAATCAGTAAGGTTGGAAATGATCACTAGGTTCATCAACTATCAGCCCACCCCCACCATGCCCACTGACCACGTCCCTCAGTGCCACATCCACATGATTCTGGAACACCTCCAGGGATGGTGACTCCACCAGCTCCCTGGGCAGCCTGTGCCACTGCAGCACCACTTTTTCAGAGGAGAAATTTTTCCTAAAATCCAGCCTGAACCTCCCCTAGCACAACCTGAGGCCATTGCCTCTCATCCTAAAAATTTGTGGGAAGTTCGTGCACTCTTCCACCTGGAAGAGGCAATGAACCCCTTCCTGGGTCTTAGTCTCTCTGCAGGTGAGAGGAAAGGCAATGCTTGGACTGAAGGAGCACAGTAAAGTGTTTCTTCTTTACCAGAAGGGGGATGCCAGATACCTGGCTTCCCCTTGAGGAAAAAAGCAGCATCAGAGGTACATGCTGGTATGGTTGATGGTGTGACATTCCCTTTTCTGCAGGGGTACTGATGAGCTCCTAGGAGTGATGGACAAGGTCACCATCGTCAACTCTACCCTGGGAAAAGCTCTTGGAGGAGCTGCAGGTGAAGGCATTTCCATGTCTGAGGCCCTCCATGCCCTAAAGAGTTCCAGTGTATGCTCTCTTTTTCTTACTCATGCCACGAGGCTCAGTCTAGGACTCTGCCACGTGGCCAAGGGAGGTCGTGCTGAGTTGCTCTTGAGGTCAAAGTGGACACTCATGGTAAAAGACATCAGCTGTGATTTTTTTTTAGGTCTGATCTGTGATAAAATTTCTTCTGTAGGGAACAAGTTGCTCACTCTGAACAGGTCACCCTGGGACTACTGTGCCCATTTCCCTTTCCTCTCTCTGCAGGCGGGTACACAACAGGCCCCAAACCCCTCATCGATTTGCTCCGCCAGCGCTCCCGCCCCTACCTCTTCTCCAACAGCCTGCCCCCCGCCGTGGTGGGCTGTGCCTCCAAGGCCTTGGACTTGCTCATGGAGAGCAATGCCATCGCCCAATCCATGGCTGCCAAGACCCAACGGTGAGGCGCCACGCTTCTGCTCACCTCCTCCTCGGGTGCCCGTGTGCGTGTCAGAGGGGAGATTGAGAATCACAGCCAGCCCTCAGTGGGCTGGGTTTTACTCATCCCTTCATTTCACTTCCCAGGTTCAGGAACAAGATGACGGCAGCCGGCTTCACCATCTCAGGAAAGGACCACCCCATCTGCCCCGTCATGCTGGGGGATGCCCGGCTGGCTGCGGTGATGGCTGAGGACATGCTGAGCAGAGGTGAGTGAGGCAGGGAGCCATGCACGATGGCATGTAACACTGAAAGCAGAGAGCCAGAAGCCTTTCTGTCACCCGTTGTCACCTCAGTTTTCCTTCCTGGCCAGCTCCAGCTCTCCATGCTTTTCCTCTCCAGGCATTTACGTCATTGGCTTCAGCTACCCTGTGGTCCCCAAGGGCAAAGCCCGCATCCGGGTCCAAATCTCAGCTGTGCATAGTGATGAGGACATCGACCGCTGTGTGGAAGCCTTCATCGAGGTGGGACAGAAACATGGAGCACTGCCTTGAGGGGCTGCCAGACTCATCCCCTAATGCCCTTCTGCCCACCAAGACAAGTGCCTGTGCCTGGGAGGCCTGAGTGGCACACTGCTCAACACAGGACCCTGAGGCCCTGCAGTCTGCAGGAGTCTCTCTGGCTGTTGCACTGTGCTGGCAGCATCACTGGTAGCATTAAAGACTTCCTGCAGTGCAGTGAGTAGTTGTATGGTTCTTGCATTCTCATCCAGGAGTTGCTACCACTTTCTGTCCTCTTGTGCTGTTAGGTGTCTGCTATGTAGCTTCAGTCAGGGCACTGAAGTGCTCCTCTCCCCTTCTGCAGGTGGAAATGTGCTGCTGCTGAGGTTATCTGTTTCCTCAGTGCCCATCCTGCAGGTCCCAAAATATGAGCCCACAGTAATTCCCCACCAGGGCAGGAAAATTTCTCAGGGTTGTGCATCAGCCTTTGGCTACCCATGCCACCAGCAGCCAGTCTGTGAGTGAGCAAAGGCTTGCTTTCTTGGTGCTCTGGGCCAGCCATTATGCTCTGCCCGCTGCCCTCACCACAGAATCATTTGAGTTGGGCCGGACCCTTAAAGGCCATCTGGTTCAACTCCCCTGCAATGAACAGGGACACTTACAGCTAGGTGACGGCACTCAGAGCCCCTCCAGCCTGACCATGGGGCTCTTACCCTGGGGTCTGGTTCTCACGTGCCACAGCCCAGCAGCTGGGCTTTAAATTTGAGGCCATAAACAGCAGGTGACAGAAACCTGTAATTCCTCTCCATTGTGCACGATTTTCACACAGCAGAGAACACACGGACAGCTGACAGCTCTGGATTTGTTCCTCCAAGCTGTGCAGGAGTGGCGGTGATTTAGTGCTCATGCAGGCACACGTGGCTCCTGGGCATCTCAGCATGGCTTCATTTGAATCAAGATGTAAGTCCTTCTATCGTCCCTATGCTGATCTGAGTGTGATGCAGGTGTGACCGTATCTGACTCAAACCAGAGCAATGACTGTATGGCTGAAGGAGGCTGGTATGGAGACCAGGGTCCATCTGCAGAACAAGCTGCATTCAAGCTAGGCTCCACGGCCACTCAAAAGTAGGAGACGAGCTCCTGTTTTTAAATGTGACAGCACTGAGAGCTCAATGGAATGTTTGCTTGGACTCTCTCACTGCATCAAGGCCAAGCTCTGCAGCAGGCTGCACAGCACCAGAAGCCGCAGCGCCAGGGAGGCACATGAGTCAGGCTGGAAATGAATAGCACAGCCATCACCGACTGCAGGAGGTGTGGTAGTGCTTTATTCCTAGGCAAACCCTCCAGCTTGTATTTCTTCAACATGTAGGGCTGGTTTGTGGCTCTTAATGACTTTTGGACCAGAAAGCGGAAGACTTTTTTTTGCTCAGTGGGACGCAAAGGTAAGTGCTGCCTCTTCAGGCTGTTTCCTAGAACAGATGGATCCACCCCTGTCTTGAGCTGCCACCCTCTGCACTACTGATATGGGGTGGCTGTGGGTCCCCCATCACTCCTGTTGTACATTAAGATATCAGACCACCCCATCCCATTCTCGGATACACATGGACACTTCCAGCCCTGGATTCACCTCCACCCACCCTCACTGTGCCACCACAGCCCAGTCCCAAGCCTGCCCCTCTTCCAGCCCCCCATGGTGACCACCCTGAGGTTCAACCCACCTCAGCTCTGCTCCCACAGTCATGTATGGTCACAGGCACGGGCTGATGGTTGGACTCGATGATCTCAGTGGTCTTTCCAATCCGAATGATTCTATGATTCTCAGACCTGCACCACCCCATCTCAAACCAAGCCCCACAGGGATCCACATGCAGCCAAATCCACCCCACATCCTTCTCCGCAATCAAACACCCATAAGAGGCCCGCTTGGCTTTCAGCCCTTTATTTCCCCACCCCCTCAGCGACAGGAGCACTTGCAGGCCACCACCACAGGATAGGGGATCTGCCGCCAGGCGCAGTGCAGGGAGCCGGGGGGCCGTGCAGCCCAGCAGTGCCAGGCCAGCAGCTTGAGGTGAGCGAGCTGGGCCGGGTGACAGGCCATGCCTGGGGGCCACGAGCAGGCGGGAGGGCCGGTCCCGCAGGCGGTGTGCCGCACCCAGCGGGGCCAGAAGACGGGCCCCAGGTCCACCCATGTGGAGGTGAGACGGCACGAGGCTCTCTCCACCAGCCAGCGCCGCAGGGGCCGCGCCATGTCGGCGGGCAGCTCGGGGGGCAGCTCCAACCCCTCCGCCTCCTTCCACAGCTTGCGGCGGTGCCGCCCGCCGCCCTCCACCAGCTCCCGGCTCATGGTTTCCAGATCCTCCTTGGCGCTGAGGTTGCGGCCTAGCGGCTCTTCCGATGACATCCAGAAGGGGTTAAAGGCCGGGCCCAGCAGCCGGCGCAATCGGCCGGGCCGCAGGTGGCGAGGCTTGGGAGCGTAGCGGTAGTCCTCGGGGGAGAGCGAGAGGCTGTAGGGTCGCACCGGGGCCGATGGGCGGCGGCGCAGCAGATGGGCAGTAGGGTCAGAGGTGCTGAACGGTGTTGGCAGTGGTGTCTGAGTGTCTTCCAGGGCGGTGGCACGCAGTGGCAGTGGCAGCAGGCAGAGGAATAGCAGGAGGCAGCAGCGGGGGCCCTGCATGGCGAGCGGTGCTGTGGGATGTGGCAGGCGGCCACGTGCCCGGGGTTATCGACACGTCCCCAGCGTGGCCTTCCCCTTTTCCTTGGTTGTGGGTGACGATACCCGTCTGCCCGCCCGCCCGCCTGCACGGGGATGCTTTGCTCCCTGCTGATATCAGGCGGTGGCGGAGCCTCCCACCAGAGCGAGGTGTGAGATGGGGCAGCAGGACCCCACTTCTGCCTCTTTTTTCCCCCACATACCTCCATCTGTGCTGCCCCTGGGAGAACAGGCTGCCATGGAGGGGAAGAATCCAGTGCCTCCTCCTCCTCCTCTCCATCCTGCCTCATGGCTGTGTTTGATGATGCGCCCAGGACCTTCCCAGCAAAGGGAAGCTGACAGCTTTTGGGTCTTGCTGAGACCATCCCCAGCACAGCAACGTGTCCAAGCCCAGGAGGGTGGCTGGGCAGGAGTGGAAGGGCTGTTGTTTCTTGTGAGTGGCATGGTTGTTTCTTATCTGGACAGCCAGAGCACGTACTGTCCCAGGTAGTGATAACAAAGCTGGGTGTCTGGAGGTGCCCTCACTGGACAGCCTGTCCTCCCTCTCCAGGGAGGGAAATGCCGGTGAGAGGTCAGATCTGCTCTAGACAGAGAACAAAGCTGCTTCAACCTCCATCCCCAGGTCTGAGATTAATCTGCCCTGTGCCACGGCACTTTTTGCCTTGCTGCTAGGAATTAATTAACAGCTAAAAATAGCAACTATTTGCTCATTCTCCACAGGACTTAGACCCATATGCCAAGGATGAGGTAGGGGTCTGGCAGGCTGAGACATCCATGTTCCCTGGAAATGTAGGGAAACGCATCCCAGAACATAGAGGTGGCGGATCTGTGGGATCCTGCCCACTTCCATCCTCCCATTCTCACTGTTCCCCCTTGGTGGAAGCAGCTGAACCCACAGGAAGGCTGGGAAGAGAGGAGTTAACTCCAAACCCAACCTCAGGGAGAGGGGAAAAAAATAATACAGAGAGAGATCAATGGATCAGCAGCTAGAGCAGAGGGAGGGAAAAGGAGGGGAGAGGGAGAGAGAACGTGCAAGGAGCTGCAGAAGGAGAGAGCTGAGTGTGAGAGCGGAAAGAGGGAGCAGGGGGACGGGGGGATGCAGCAGAGTGTCAGGCATTGCTGACAGCATTGCTAGAAGAAACTGTCAGTGTCCCACATCCTGCTGATGAAGGTCTGCCTCCTCCTCACTGCTGCTGCCCAGGCTTTTCTGGAGGTCTACCCAGAGCAAGCGGAGAAGCTACACGCTTTTCCTTGCAAAGGTGAGTGCCAGTTTTCCAAGCCTCGGGATGAGCCCAGAGCTGTCCCAGCCCACGTGCAAGGGGTATGCCCAGAGGAAGACTACAGTCTTCTGCTTGGGCAATAAGGTCCACAGGACCAGGACAGAGGAGCTGGGAACAGAGGGGAGTGCAGAGCAGAGATGAGTTTTCAGTGCTGTATAGAATGTGCTAAGAAGAAGTGGTACGAGCAGAGAGAGAGGGCAGTGTGGGATGAAAGAGCTTGCATGACCCAGAAAGAGTTAATTGCATGTCAACTGTTGCTAGATAACCGTGCCTTTCCATCTTGACTGCTGCTCAATGAAGGACAATTTGTTCTAATGAAAGAACAATAAGCAGAAGGCTCGTTAGGAGATATGGTGTTTGTGCTCCTTGTCTGTGTGTGGTGGCACACAGTACTGGAAGAAGTTTAGCCACAAATCACAGCACCCTGCTCCTTGAGTTTTTGGGTTATATCACTCCTTTGTTATGACTATTGTGCTGTATTTTGGGCAGCTCCGAGTTCTGCCCCCCCCCCCTTCTCTCATGTCACAGGGAGAGGTGAAGAGCTGCACAAAGAACAGAGATCAACTGCAGAATGTGAGCACTGATAGTGACCAGGGACAAGATAGGACCCAACAGCCAAATTCCCTTTGCCTGCACCATCCATAGGGTTAACAAAACCCCAAACCCACAGACCAAACACATCCCACCTGCTTTTCTCAGAGATCCTTTGAACTCTGAATTGAAAACACATTAAATATGATAGAGTACAGTGCAGATTCTTTTCTCCACTTCCCACACTGCCAATTTAGCCACCACCATCCAGCCCATTACCTCCTATCAGCATCAGGATTACTGTCCTTAGTCACAGGTCCTCTGTGTAAAACAGCTGCTGCAAGAAGAAAGAGGAGCAGTCACTTGTGGGGTGGAGATGGCACGCTTGTAAGCATGGCATGGTGTTTCTGCTGTGGAGTTCCTTCTTCTGGAGGTGTCTCAGCCCCATGTTCAGGGTGGCCATCCCTCTCAATCCCTCCTTCCCTATGTTCTTGCAGCCCTGGATGAGCCCAGTGGAGCATCAGCTGGGATGAAGACTTGAGATCCCAGGGTTTAGCAGCATACTGTATGTAGGAGTAATGCAGGAGAGGCCAAGCGGTGGAGCAGGAGGTCTTCCAAGAGGGCTGGGAGGTCAGAAGACACTGTGGTGGGGATGTGAATCTGGACTGTCTCTCTCTCTATGCACAGGGTCCCACTGTCAGAGAGGGAGAAATGCCAGGGGGCTGGAATGCCTCCTCTGACAGCCCGGAACTGCCAGCTGCAGGGATCATCGTGCCTGTCATCTTCTCCCTCATCTTTCTTCTGGGCACTGTGGGGAACGGACTGGTGCTGGCTGTGCTGCTGAGGAACGGCCAAGTGAAGTACAACACCACCAATCTCTTCATCCTCAACCTGGCCGTGGCTGACCTCTGTTTCATCATTTGCTGTGTCCCCTTCCAAGCCACCATTTACACCCTGGATGGGTGGCTCTTTGGGGCCTTTGCCTGCAAGGCTGTGCATTTCCTGATCTACCTCACCATGTATGCCAGCAGCTTCACCCTGGCTACAGTCTCCATTGACAGGCAAGTGTCCCCTGTACACTGAGTCCCTCAGCTCAGGGACAATGTGTTTGCCACCCTTGAGCTAAGAGGTAAGAAAAAGTCCAGCCTCCACCCTATTGGGTGCCCTGTAGGGAGCAGGTTGGGTCATCCCAGTGACAGCAGGGATGCCAGGACCAGCAGATTGATCTTTCCACTGCTACTCCTTACCTCCCATACATTCTCCCAACTCCCAGCCAAGCTCTCGGTCTAGTTACCTGTCCTTTCTCTTCCTTACTTGAGCAGAAGGGTTGTAGGCAGCTCAGAATGCCAAAGCCCCAGGAAAGCAATGCACCAGGGGACAAACAGGTAGCTCTTTGTGTCCTATTTCGACCCTCCTCCCTGACTCAAGATGCACGTTGCTTACCCTTCCTGAGCTAGCACAGCAATGTGGGCAGCAGAGATCCCAGATCCCATGCTGGGATGACCCCATTCTCACCATAATCCTCTTTCCCAAGAGGTGAGGAAGGGGAGAGATTGGTGGCTGTGTGGGAATGGGTGCACAGATGGCAGCCTCATGGGGCAGGAGGGCAATGAGACCCAATCTCATCCACATCCTGTTTGGTCTCTCCTTCCCCTCCCCACCAGGTACCTGGCCATTCGCTATCCACTGAAGTCCCGGGATCTCCGCACTACCCAAAATGCAGGAGTGGCCATTGTAGTGATTTGGTTGCTATCACTACTCTTTGCAGGGCCTTACCTCAGTTACTACCAGATTGTCCATTACCATGGGGTGCCCATCTGCGTCCCCGTCTGGGAGGACCAACGCCGAAAGATTCTGGACATCCTTACGTTTGTAGTTGGATACCTCTTACCTGTGACTGTAGTGAGCCTGGCATACGCCAGGACCATCAAGTTCCTGTGGACCTCTGTAGACCCTATAGAGAGGATCTCAGAGTCCCGAAAGGCCAAGCGTAAGGTCACCAAGATGATCGTGGCTGTGGCCATCCTGTTCTGCCTCTGCTGGCTTCCACACCATCTGGTTATCCTGTGCTTCTGGTTTGGCCACTTCCCTTTCAACCGAGCCACTTATGCCTGCCGCCTGGCATCCCACTGCCTTTCGTATGCTAATTCCTGCCTCAACCCTATCGTCTATGCGCTCGTTTCCAAGCATTTCCGAAAGCGTTTCAAGCAGGTCTTCACCTGCCTGTTCTTCCAGAACAAGAACAAGAAGAAGAGAACTGGAAATAAAGTTCATATGGTCGCTGTGGGCAAAGGTTTCACTAATAGCACTGGAGGCTTCTATGGAGGCAACACTGAATTGACTCAGGTCGCAAAGGAGAACAATAGGAAGAGGGACACTGAAGGCGCCAGGCATGCCAGAGCATGGACTCACCAGCTACAAGAAGTTCAGAAGGAGCTGCTGGAGGAGGAAATCTTGGTAACAGCTGGCCATCCCCTAGCCAAGAACCCTCCAAGAAGGCCTCAAGAGTGTCTGGCTGCTGATTGCAAATGAGCAAATGCATCTCGGAATGGCACAATCCACCACATCAGTGCAGAGCACAGGGACGTGTTAATGTGATGACATTTCTCATGGTCTGGGGGCAGTCCAAGTCCACCTCCCCTTCTGTGGCTCCTGCATCCAGATCAAAGAGGGCCGTTGCACTTTACCGCGCTGAGTCTGCACCAACAGCTTGGTTGTACAACCTCTGCAGAACTCACTGGTCATACCTCCATGATACCACCATGCCACAGCAGGTGAACAACTGAAAGGCTGTTGCACCCTCCCTGTGTACCCATGGCTTCTCTGCAGCTCAAAAGCGAAAGGACCATCAGTCTGGTCTCTTCCCCTGGCCCAGCCCTTCCAGATAGTACTTAATGGAAGAGGTTTCCTTGTGCTCTGCCCTGCTTAGCCTTTGATCTTGCAAGCAGATACTGCAGGACACTGTCCACTTCCTTGTGCTGCTTGCAGTTCTGAAATATTTCTTGGCAGTTATCCTCAGTTCTTCCCAAGCAACCCTCACAAATCCTCCTCCCACCATGTTGTTCCATCTGATTAATCTCTGCTTTATTTCTGTTCGCCTTTTGGAAATTCCTGAAGGACCGCTGCCTCTTCTTTGCTCTTTATGTAGAGTTTCATCCCTTCCTTCAGTGGTTGTTGCTCTCCGAGCGGTGATGTAACTCGGCATTATTAGCCCTGTTTGTGTGCTTTACTGCCTTAGCAAGATATTATTTTCCATGAAATGAGAATCATGATTGCACTTGTGTGCACTTGGCTCAATCTTAAATCCTGTCTGTTCTTTTCTGTGTGGTGGAGAGAGCTTCCAGGAGGGGGCAATGCCACCACCACTCAAAGGGCTGGAACACCTTCCGCAGCATTCCTCACTGCAGGATTGCTGTGGTCTGATGTGCTCCTGGGAGCACAGTTTCCCATTTGCTGTTCCTCGTTGCCCTCCTTGTCTCAAACAGCTGTAGAAGAGCCTTTGGTTGCAATAGCTGCTGAATGACCCCCTGTAGTAGAGTGGAGTGTCTTTCCAAACCCGACCATAGGAAAAATGGGAATTGCTTTGGGGATGGGGGAGGGCAAGAAATAAGGTTCACAGAGGGTGCTGGAATTTCTCCCTTTCCTAACCTGAATAAAGCCCAGCAATTTCCTTCTCCAGATAAGTTTGATGTGTGCTGAATGCAAACTCTGCCAGTGTAGCATGGGCTGCTGGAGGCTGTATGAGCTGGTGGGAGTCCTTCATGGGGACAAAAGGGATGGTGAGACGGTAGGGCAGAGGGACAAGGGGCAGAAGGGAGGACAAGCAGGCACATAGCATGCGTGTGCATGGAGATAACCCTCCCAGCAAAGCCCTATGCGAGGGGATATGAGGACCAAATGCTGCAGCAGACTCCAGGCTGTGGGAAATCTGCAGGGAGCACACTGCTCACTTCATAGCTAATTCATACAGAGGGAGTAATGCTGGGAGCCCCAGCTGGCAGAGAGAAGCCATTTACTGCCAACCCACTGCCAAGCACCTGCGCCAAATGCTGAATCACTGGAGGCAGTGCAGCTCAGTCAGCTCTGTCCCAAGCTGCACAGACACAGTGTCCTTGCTTGCCCCCGTGCACAGTGGGACCTTTGATAAGCAGGTGGAAGCTGCAGTATCAGGTGAAGAGCTTACAGCCCTGTCTTTGTCCTTTGACACTCTCAGAGCTATGGGCACAATATGGAAGGGATGAGGGGGACATGCAACAGTGGGAACATGGATTTGCAGAGTCCTGCTATGTGCAAGCCATGCAGCAGATCTATAAGCTCTCCCTATTCTTCTTTCCTTGCCCTCCCCAACTTCTGCTTGCATGAATCTTCCCTTCTTGCTTGCTCTGCTTGCTTGTCAAATTCCCAGGTGACATGGCACTTCAATGTGTGCTGACACTGTAGCACAGCTCAGCAGCAAGGACACCCCTTTCCCCATGCTACAGCCAACCTGGTTGCTGCACTGGGGATGTTTTTCTTTTCACACTCAAGCACTTGATGTTGTTTTCTGCACCTTGAACCTCCCACGTCTCTCCTTGTGCTGGAACACGTGCATTGTTTCTAGATCTGTGGTTGCATTTCACAACCCAAAGTGTTGGAGAAAGAAGGGAACAGCAGTCGAGAATGGTGATGCTCTGACCTTGTTCCCTTTTAAGAGTGAAACCTAAATAACATGGGACAAAAAGGATGGGGGAAACCTGGGGAGAAGGCATGTTTAGCACCTCTGCAAGATGCGGCTCCCATTCATTCATTCTGCCTGGATCCAAGAGCCTGCATTTTTGGGGAAGCAGATGAGCAAGAGGCTCGATAGCCAAGAGGGAATTCCAGTCTGCCCAGTAACAATACACATGCTTCAACTGGTCCAACAGCTTAAAGGCAGAGGCAAAGAAAAGGTGTTATGTCCTTGATATAAAACTGTCACTAATTAAGGTCGAAGGAACTCGAATGCTCTTCTCACACAGCCTCCCCTCCAGACTGATTAGCAATCAGCAGTCTCTGCTCCCAGCCTTTCAACTTAATTAATGATTACTTGTCATCGCTCAGACTGATGAGCTCGGCTTTAAACCTGCGGGGGCTGCCACACCTGGGACGTGCTGAGCGTGGGGCAGCAGGGACAGAAGCAGAGAGGGGAGAAGATCCAATGGAAGAAGGCAAATGATGGTTGAAGAGCCCCTGGATGAGCTATTTGCCCTGTCTCCTTTATCAGCTTCTTAATCAAAACGGCTGATTTCTCTCACCTTGTCATCCCACTGCCTGGGGCTGCTCTCCCACGCTGCCCGGTTGTAGTGTACAAAGAAATCATCTTACTGCCTGTACCTTTCCGTGACGGAGAAGATGAAATCCATCTCACTCATTGAACGAGCGGAGGAAGCAGATGAAAGGCTGCAAGGTTTGCAGGGATGCTTCATGGGGCTTCCTTAGCAGCACAGAGGATAATTACTGTGATGGATTTGGAGTCTGCTAGAAAGGCGAAAGTGAAGGAAGTAATGGAGCTCAGATGTTGGCTTGATACCCTGGAGCTTAATTACCTCAACTGCTGAAGACTGAAAGGCAGCAGATTCTTGGTGTTTGTGCATACCGCAGCACACTTTGCATTCACCGGCATAGGCAAGCAGCTGCTGCAGAGAAAGACCCTTGGCTTAACAACATCCATGACACCTTATTGGGAGGTTTGTACACAGCTATTGCTTCTGCTTGAAAGAGCCAGATCCTGAGCCTGGCTGGTTTTGTCTGTGTCTTACAGCATGAGCTCTCTGTGCAGGGTCAAGGGACTGGCGAGGTCACTGCTGGGCTGAGTGGCTGCGGGTACAGCGTGTCACTGCAGAGCCGTGCTGTGAATGAAGGGGGAAACAAAATGCATATGGAGGACAGGCAGTGGTGAGCAAGGCCTTGGGTCAAGTCCTGTCTGCCAGGGAACAGTGGCACGTGTGGCCCACCAAAACACAGTGCTTAGCAGTGTAAGGCAAGGGAAAAGGGGAGGTTGGGTAAAGTGTAACGTCAACATAGCAGAGGAAAGACAGTGGCGTTGTTTGCATTGTTACTGCAACAGACACCTCTGGAATAGACTGAAAGCAAGGGAAATAGTCATTGCTGCCTGCTGCACCCCTGCCTTTCCACTCCAAGCATACGGTCAAGAGCAGTCATGGAAAAACTCCAGCACCAGGCAAACAAAGACTTGAAGAGCTGTGGACAGCAACGTCCTGAGCACTCAAGCTAAAAGCTTAGCTCTGAATCTCAGCTAAGTGTGTTCCTGGTTGCAAGGAAAGCTTCCAAGCTGCATCTAGTTTGCAGACATCATCAGCAGCCAAGGCAACTGCAATGATAAGAGCACCCCAGCCGCCTGCTCTTTGGCACTTTAATGGTCTCCTCAGCAACAAGGCTGTTGACTGCCAAGCGTATGTGGATACGAAGCTTAGGCTGACGCAATGACAGAAAGACAGAACAGGACAGACTGAACACAGAAGTCACCAGCTCCTCACCCAAGGGACCACACTGTAAAGCCCCTGCCCAGATGTCAGGGGGCTGAGGTGCCAGGGAGGAACAGCTCTTCACAACGCGGCCACTTCTCTGGGCACAGGGCAAGGCACGAGTGCAACCACTTTATCCCCACCAGCTCCACACTTACACAGGAGCACAGACTGGGCAAGGCTGCTTTCCCTCTTCACAAAGCATGCCACCTCTCAGCTAGATGCAGTCCCCCCGAGATTCTCTTTCCCTCTGTTTGTACAGTATCACAGCAACTAACTAGATTTTAAGTTTGGATTTCTTGGCTGTGGGAGCCGAGATCAGAAGGTGAGTCAGCAGCTGTGTACTCTGATCTGCAAACAGGCTGGTGTTTGAATTCAAACAATTTTGTGTTGTCACTTCCAATTTCAGTGCCACAATTGGGAACAGCAGTTACTGAACCCAGTGCTGTGCCCACGGCCTGAAACATCAGTAAAGGGGAATGAGCTGCTCTGAAAAGAGAGAACTGGACAGGGAATTCAAAAAAGGCTGACAGGATTTTATTGAAGTCTGAAATATGAAAAGGTCAGATTGTCTCCCACCCCCTCAGAATCCTTCCCATCCAGCACGTCATAACAAAGTACCAGCACTCACAGTGACAGCCCCAGCCAGCACAGCTTCCAGCACACCTAGAACAATGCGTATTCTGATAGCTCAGCTTTGAACACGGAGGCCCAGTGAGCCTTCTCCTGGCTAAGCAGCCAGACATTAGAGAACACGTCTCTGAAGAACGTTGCAAACAGTGGCTGTTTATATGGTTTAGCTGAATCCTAAAGAGCTGACATGATTCCTAGCTGTGGGGTGCATATCACCACCAGCGTGCCATGTCGTTTAGGTGGGCATGCAGGTGGGAACTGTGGCACATTTTCTTGTCATCCTGCTATCGCTCACACCCCACCTCCAAGACTTCACAGATCCCTGCTTCAAAGCAAAACTACTGTGTCTCTGTTACCAACCAGAGAGCAGCAAGGGAGATTCCCCGCATCCTTCACAGCTGCATTACTCTGGGCACCCAGCAGAAGTCGTTACTCATTCCTCAAGCTGAACTTCAGACCATGGAGCTGTGCTTCTCCACAAGCAAGAAACACACGATGGGTGTCAGCCAGTTTTGGGTTTGGTGCTGCTGCCGCAGCCACAAATCCAACTCCACCCCAACCCAACGATGTGGGGCACCTTCTGTTGCTACTGGACCCCTGGCCTGAAACAGCCAGTAGTGGATACGGAAAAGTCACTTAGAATGACTTTGGTGGGTTTTTTCCTTCAAATAAAATGTAGATGCATGCCTAAAACTGTAGTAGGATTAAGTCATTCCCTAACCCTCATTGTTGCATCAGGGTAGCTCTGACCTGATGCCTCCCTGGGTATTCTTCACAAGTGTTTCACTCTGAGATTTAAGCACTGTCTTTCAGCAGTGCTTCAAAAACCAGGCCCAGTGGAACCTGTCAGTCTGATTAAAAGCATTGTATCCCACCCCTAACTGGCCAGATACTCTGCAGGCTCTAGGGAAGTTTAGGATTACGTCTTGGTGCATGCTTCTTAAGGCAGTGTGTTTGCTCAGCTGCTACCACACGGAATTAGGGACGTGTTGTTCCTATAGTACAAAGCCTTCTGTTGTCCAAGATGCCCACTTCCCACCCCCCCATGCAGTTTAATACTGCAGTGGTGGCAAAAGATGCCTGTTGCAAGCAGATAGATCTGTGATGCTGGCGATTTTCCATGGCATTAGCCACCACCTGCACTGAACTGGAGTGCTAAGGAGAAGGCAGAATACCTCTGCTCTGGAAGGGGTACCCTATTCAGTGCCAGCCTATTTTTTTTTCCCCAAAAGTCTCAGCTGCAGCACTCTCTTGTCAAATCTTACTGCCTCCTCATGAGGCAACCATGGCAGCACCCTCAGGGCCTGCGATGTTTATTCAGAGATGCAGGCCTTCTTCTCTAAGCCTTCTCCTTCTGGATCACAGAGATGAGAGGACTTGGAAGCCTGTTACCTCTTCTCCATCTGCATCTGCAGGCTGAGCGATGTGAAGCTGGCCAGGAGGTCTGTAACCTCGTCCACCTGTCAGAAGAATACAGCTGGCCATCAGGCACAGAAACACAGCTGCCCACCACCACAGAAGAAACCCCCATGCAGCAAGGACTATTCTTCCACCAGGATTGCCAGTAATGCCCAAACTGAGCGTATGCTACAACTCCTGCTGGCTCCACAATCATGCTCAGAAAAGTCCTAATCTAAGGCAAAAGGAGCTTTTGCCCCTTCCTCAGGAAGCTGATGCTCGAACTCCACCTCAGGCAATACAGCCAGCCCTTAAATAGAAGTGTGCTGACGCATTACCCAGAACTCAACAATGAGTACTTGTGCTACCTTCTGGCCTTAAAATGATTGTGCCCTCAGTCGATCCGATCTTCAGCTTCTCTGCTGAGCTGCTAGGCACACTAATGCTTTCTGCATTTTGAATTCCAAACAAAGGAGTCATCCATCTATCCTGGCTACTTCACCCAGCAACAACACATCCACAAGCATGTCTTCAATGTCACCTTTTTTATGTAGCTGAATTCTCCTGAACACAAAAGTCACAGCAGAAATAGGTGAGTCACAGTAGCTCAGCACTACCTACCTGCTCCTTTGTGCTGGTCATCTGTAGCTTAGAGCAGAGGTCATCCAGCTGTTCCTTTTGCTCATGCCTCCCCAGACGGTCCAGGTATTCCCGCAACATCTGGATAATCTGAAGCCACCAGGAATAAGAGGAAACATCAGACAGCAGCATCACACTGGGTTGCTTTTAGGAAGAACAGCTAAACTGCCAAGCACAGACTTGCCGTTGAGTACATGATTCATAGAAGAGAGTGCATGCAAAGCGACCGGAGAGCACTAAAGGTTCTACCAGAGGCTGGGGAATCACCAGAGGTGTCCATCAGCCACAGGCAGACCAGTTATGATCTGTTTGTGTAGTTTTAGAACAGGAAGGAGAGACAAGCTCAGCTGAAGAAGTACAAGGTTTAGGCTTGCCAAGAAAGCACCAAGCTTTTCTTCATGGCCAGCTGTCTTCCCTCACTGTGAGGAGCAGGAACTTCCCACTCCTGCAGGATCTGTTTGTGCACAAAGAATAAAAACCCTTATGGCTATTCTATGGTTCCTGAAGCAATGCCCACACCTCATGTATGTGAGGCAGCATTGTGACTGCTTTCCTTTCCCATGCCCCCACACACGAGAGCAGTGCAGAGTGCACTGAGAATGCCTGACAAAGTAGAGTCCCTGCTGAACTGTGTGTGCCACAGCTACAACCCCATGCTGTGGTTCCTCTCCTGCAACAAGGCATCCATCTTACATGGTTGCTGAAGAAAAGAGTGTGTTCCATGCAGCCTGAGAAATAAGACATTCAATGCTTGGCCTACCACAGCCAAATTGCCATGCAAAAATCAAGAGAAGTAGTTGGAAAAAAATCAACATATCTGAAAACAGAAGGAAAAAGCCCAACTTTCCTTGGATAAGCTAAAAGCCTAGAGACAGGCAATTAAAACAGCTGCTATATGATCCTTGACCAAAAGAGTACTGAAGACTGATAGAAGCTGTAGAGCCTTACCAGAGCATGGGATTGTTTCTTTTACCTGTTTCACTTCAAGGCGCACGGCCTCCAGGCTGTGGGAGATTCCTTCCTGTAAGATGTTTAGCTTCGACTTAGCGAGGTGCAGCGGGGTTCTGCCAGCTCGATCCAAGGCATCGACTCTGGCCCCTGCAAACGCATGAGTAGGGGCAGAAAGGGAGGTCTGTCTTAAAAACTTGGTGTTCCTGGGGAATATTGACAGAGGCAGGGCCAGAAAGGGACAGGCAGTAATTGTTATAGAGGAAATGTTACCTCCGCGCAGCAGCGTGGTGATGACGGGAACATGGTTCGTGCAGGCAGCTGGGGAGGGAAAACACAGGACACACAGCTCAGAGGTGCTACAAACAACAAAGGAGTTTCTGCTCAAGTGTGGAACTTGTCACTTCCCAAAAGGTTTTTTTGCCATAGGAAAGAAGAACGGCTCCACCGTTAAGCATGACCTCATGCTCAGACGTGGGTACTTTGGCTAGAACACATCTCACACTCCTCAGGACAGGCAGAGGGAAGGAAATGGATTTTCTCTAACTCTGATCCTTAAGTCCTCCTGAGGGGTGAGGCAAAAAAGTGCTAACAATCGTAAGTCTTTAAAGCTGGGGACGTATAGTGTGATGCACAGGAAAAAGGAAGATGCAGAGGAAAAATAGAATGCAGTGGTCACCTCATTTCTCTGCATGCAAAAGTCATCTGACTGGCACTTACCCAAGTGTAAGGGAGTGTTTCCCAGCCCATCTCTCTGATTTGGGTCAGCCCCGTGATCCAGAAGCAGTTGCACTGGAAGCAATAACACAGAGCCATGTTAGCCCCTTCCCTTTGCCCCACTGACAGCACCTTACTGGGGTGAGAAGCTTCATTTGGCAGAGCATTGCTGACCAACAGGTCCATGTGGCAGCCAGCAGGCTGCAGAAGGGATGCTTTATACAGCTTACACAGACAGCAAAAGGAAAATAAAGAAAATCCTCTGAAATAGACAAGTTGGATGATTGAAGATCCCTTTCCCACTCACCAATGTGATCGTTGCCATTGCAGGAAGCAAAGTGCAGGGCTGTCCGGCCTTTGTCATCTGCAGCACAGGGGTCAGTTCCATCCTCCAGGAGTTGCTGCACTGACAGTGCCAAGGAAGAAAAGGATACAGGTAAGTTGAAGGGACACCTGATCAGAAAGGGGTGATGCTACCAGCTCTTCTGCAGGTAAATATGGACTCTGTCCATGGTCAGAGCTCATAAATGAATGCTTCCATCATTTAATGAAGCAAGGTATACTGTGAGCTGGAAGGTACAAAATGACAGACAGCCCCCCATGCACCCCATCCTGAAATGTCAGGGGTTTCTACAAGTCAGATCTGTTTCCAGTTGTTCACAACATGGTCTGATGACAGGCAAAAGAGAAACAATGACAGGGGGCAAACGACTTATGGCAGTATTGCTGATGAATACTTAGTATCAAAACCAAACTGATCTTACAGTACAGAGAAGTAAAGAGAGTCCCAGAGAGGCTGGCCGGGGCTCTGATCTGTGTCACACTATGTCATTTATCACACGGGGTATGGCTTAGAATCATAGAAGTGCAGAGTATCCTAAGTTGGAAGGGATCCAGAAGGATCATCGAGTCCAACTCCTGGTTCCACACTAAAGACCACCCAAAAATCAGACCGTATGTCTGAGATCAGACAGGCTTGGATCATCACTTTTCCATTCTGCCACAAGACTACTTTTCTACTGCTGACAAGTGGGCGAAAGTTACTTACCAAAAAGCTGGAGTAAGAGCA